GTCTGAACCTCATCCTCCGATAACAATGGCAGGACGCATGGTGGAGCTGCATATGATGCAATGTCGGCTGGAAGGCAACTATTAAAGTCGGAGGATTGTCCGACCCAGTCGAGGGCAGTAATATCGCCTGACCGAGCGACGATCTCCTGAAGGAGCCGTCCGAGGGCGTTTTGCTTCTTCTCGCCGTAATTTACAGGTAGCTGGACGCCGAATATGCCAAACAACGAATATGCGATGTCTTCCTGCACCGTGGTGATGCGTGTCGATGCCCATTGAAGTCTCTCTCGGATGCCATTCATCCCCGCATGGAAGACCACAAGGGCCTGTCGATCTATGCCCGTCGCACCCTCCAACTCTTCCATGATCGTAGCGGAGTCCTTGTGGTTGGGGGAGTGGTCGTCGAGATATAAGGTCCAGTCCGCCTGGTAGAAGAGTACGACTTTCGGAGCCACGAATTCTTGAAAAGTCCATCCTCGTCTGTTCCACTCGCTCTTCGCCAGTGCACCAGACTTGGATGAAGGCGGAACGTCCGAAAGGTAGACAATCGTGAGGGCTGAGTGATGGTACCAGATGAACATCGAATTGAGTGATTCTTGCAGCTCGACATGGTTGAACTTGTCAATGCAACACGTATCGCTCCACACCCAACGATACCCTGCATCACGAGCGATTTCGCAGAATTTCTGCAACTTTACGATGCCGCCGACCGAATCCAACTTGAACACGATCTTGTCCTGAATGTCCTGCAGCGAAGGTTCCTTCCTACCCCATCTATGCGACAGCATGACGCAACGGAAGTACGTTGCCACAACTTCTGTGATGTGCGCCGTTCGGAGGTCTGGGTGCTTCATAGTCGATAACAGAAGCTCCTTGTACTCTGTGCTCTTTTCGAACATGTCTATCTGCGCTTCTCGGTCGCATAAGAGTCCAGTGGCAGTGTTGAGTAGGCGAATTGGGGCAGTATCGAAGTTGAGTGTCCGATGACCTGTCGAATGACACCTGCTGCTTTGGAGGGTGTGATATATTGCTGGCGCAGCTCTGAGGAAAACGTTGAGCACCTTGATTGCATGTGACACTTGGGACTTACTTCGGATTTGTGCGTTGGAAGCACTGTTTCAATTTCAAGAGCATCATTTGAAAGGCCGCGATAGCGTCATCGTACCTGTTGTGCACCATGATGCGCCGTATGCCTCAACTGGTATCCAACATGAGACGAAGGGTTGAGTTCGACGACCTTATGTATAACCAAAGCGAGCATTAACTACCACGAAACAACCTGAAGAGATGTCATCGTACCTTGTGCGCATCGAGAAGCGCGTCCTCCCATAACATTCTTTCCAATTCGGCCTTACTGCGGTTCGCAAAAAGAATATCACTCGTGGAATTGAGGTCGATCGCCACAGAATATAAGTCAATAGCCCGGTCATAATCACTTGCAGCGAGGGCACTATCTCCCTTGGCAAGATAGAGCATGCTGCATTCTTGCTTGAATGCTGAGTGAAATGTAGGTCAGAGTTCTAGTCTATGTGACGTTACGGACTTTGGACTTACCATTGGACCAGTCAAGGGAGCTGGTCATTGTACTTTCGTCACTCAAATCCATCGTGTATCGGTATGATTTCAAGGCTTCTTCAAGTCTATCTGCCCGAAGGAGCGCATCACACCATTTCTGGCGTGCGTTTTGCCACAAAGATTTTAGGTCCCATCCAAAGAGCTGCACAAAGCACGGAGTGCAGCATGAGAAACAGGTCCGCAGGAATCATATCAACGCACCACCACCAAGTTCTCATATATAGAATGAATGGCCAATGTAGTAGATGAGAAAGGAATGCAGTTGACAGCAGCAGCGAAGTGGTCAACAGCTTCGTTGTGACGTGATTCATCCATAGCACTAATTCCGAGTCGAACACGCAGGTATGCCTGATGCGCAAAGTTCAGTAAGGTCAGCATCAACGCGAGGACATGGGGTTGATAAAAATATAATACTGACTTCGATAACGCGACACGCAAGAGTGTCATTATTCGGACAAGCTGCGGCTAGCTCTTGCACCCGTACGATAGCCTCTTCATGTTGGCCTGCATTGAAAATAGCAATGGCCTGAACATCATAAGGAATGACGGAGTATGCAAGGAAAAAATTACATGCCTTAATCAAGAGAAGGAAATGAATAGCCTTTGAGTCTTCGTTCGCGAACATAAACGCGAGGTCAAACGCTTTGATCGAGTCCCAGATCTGCCCTTTTCCACAGGAGTGCGATTCCCTTGGAGATATAGCCTAACAAGGAAGGCTGAATGGCGATGGACTGTGTCACGAATCGCAATAAAAGTTAAACTTTCATCAGGGGCCCATGATAAATCGTGAATCTCACCTTGATCGCATCATGAAGGGCGTGGTCCCAGTCGCTTTTTCGCGCCATAACGAATGAACGATTGGCATACGAAGTGTGGTTTTTGGCATTGGTATCGATCTCTTGTGTGAAAAGCGCTTCAGCAGTAGACAAGTCACCCTTTATACAGGCATTACGAGCAGTTGTATTAATTGCGAGGATCTGTGGCCGAAGCATGCTCGAATTGCATTATCAGAATCAAGGATGGAAACATGCCTTTGCATTAGAAACTTGAACCTTGGCACCAAAAGGCGTGAAATGAGTTGGTGAAAGAGCAGGAAATAAACAGGAAAGTACCTTTGATGCTGATTTCTTAAGAGCTTCGTCTGGCAAAGCATCCTTGGGTACCACCCACTCTGAGATCAACTTGTCATAACCTCCGCTGAGGATGTGATTTCCGTCCATAGAGAAAGTCACACATCTCGTCATGGGTGTTGAGCGTTGAAAGATAGCAATGGTTGGTCGATCTGACTCTGAGAGCTGCCAGAGACGGATACTACTGTCTTCAGATGCGGAAGCGGCGAGTGTGCCAGCAGGATGAATCGCAATGGCATTAATCTCGTGAGTGTGACCCGTCCAAGGTTTACCGACCTGCTGCCAGGTCGATGTATCCCACTCCCGTATAGTCGGATCATACCATGTCCTCCTGAGAGAAGACGTGTACCATCGGGTGACCATGCGAGCGAGAAGTTCCATTGTATGTGACCCTTGAAGTGTGTTATGCATTCTTTCGTGTCTGAATTATAAATTTCGATGTCCTGGTGTGTGGCAATGGCAAGAAGTTTGCCCGACGGCGAATACCGAACGCAGCGGACATGGTCACCGCAACGGATTGGAATTCCTTTGAGTCGCCATGTTTTCGTACTCCACAACTTCGTCGTTCCATCTAATGAGCCACTCGCCAGAACTGTTCCATCTGGAGAAAAATCCAGTGACAGGATGGCGTCGGAGTGGGCTTTTATGGCGGGGGTGAGAGATTCCCCAGTTTCCCCGTACCAGGTGATGAGCTCTCCACTCTCATCACTGCTTGCTATCAATTCCCCATCTCGTGATAACGCCAATGCCTGCACCCTATCGAAATGCCCCTCCATCCTTTTCAGTACCACACCTGTCTTCAAGTCCCAGAGACAAAGCGTCCTGTCGCATGAGCCTGTAATCATACGTCGTTTATCAGGCAAAACTACTACAGAGTATATGCCGTCTGTATGATATTCAAACTCTCGATTGGGTGTGGTGCTTAGAAGGAGCTGCAACATTTTATTGCAGGTTGATTGTGTTGAACGCGGTGAAGATGGACTTGGAGGGATGCGAGCGTCTTTCTCTAAGCTGGTACGCGTATATTTGTATGTTTGACATGCGCTGCGTTCCTGAACTCGTATTTTCGTAGATGTCTAGGACTAGACGCCCAAAACCAGAGGCTGATCGCCTCCACAATATCATTGATCAAAGCTGTTCCCCCTAGGTCTGATCATCCGCCTCTTCTCAACAGTATACACCTCCCTGCGCCTCTGCACAGGAAACAAACTCGTATCTCTGCGAGTTTTACGACATATGAAATTGAGATACCCGTCAAATGATCTGGCTGGTGGTACTCATGCAGCGTCTCGAATGGCCATGATCACTACCCCACAGGATGGCTACCATGTCTTGTTTCTTATATTGAGCACTGAAGCAGCCACTCCAACAGACCATCAGATATGTCCAAATGGTCAAGCTTGTGTATGTCGTGCTCCTTTTCTCACGATGTCCATTGTCGAGATGCATTGAACTCGCCGTAATATCATCCGACTCCCAAGGTCTGCATGTGGATACAGCTAATTTAATTCTCAATTCTCTCGGTCATTCATCTCAATTCCCACCTTCATCAACTCTCGATCCAGGGGGGTTTGGTTTTTCTCGTTTGTTAACCCCCTTTCAGATCCACCCTTATACAAATCATAAACCACACAAGTATCGGTCCAATAACTCAAGGTCATCATATCCTACTGCTTGGGTATTCTTTCATGACGGGTGAAACTATGCAATTCCTGCATTCGCTTACTGACTGACCATCATTGCGCATGTTCAGGAAGCTAAGTATCCCGATTCTCCGAAGGTTGAGATTCGAGTGTTAACATTCAGGGCTGTGCCTAGCACGTAACTTACACGGGTTCTCATGTGACATATGTACTCAGCAGAAACCCCAAGGATTCTAACTTTGCACGTGGACAATAAGTCTCTACGTATAGTGACTCCGGAGCTTGATACATTGATGTTTGGCTAGATTCGAGCTAATCGGGTGACGTCCTGCATCAATAAAGCCCACAGACTCGGAGTCAGACTTGCACCTAACTGAGGTAGCGTTCGAAGGCTGTCAATTCACAGGGATGGACTACTGTACAGTGAAAACTCGACACTCATGGATATTAAATAGACCAAGATCATTCAAATGTAACCTCAGGCTCCCGCCCACGACAAAAAATGCAATCCTATAAATTAAGCGCATTCCGAACAAGTCCACCGGGTGACCCCACGATTCAGAGTCATCTTATCCAGTCCAAACCTCACTCCACAGCAATGCCAAATAAGCTACGTGATGAGATGTCACACCGTCGTGACCGTGCATTCGGCAGGTTACATGTCGGACATAGGAATATACACGAGGGCGTCAGAGCCGTGTGTCTGCTGGTCAATCTGCCAGAGAAAGAGGTGCATGCGCGTAGCGAGGATCGCGAGCACAAAGAACTGGAGACTGTACGTATAGTTTGTGTTGTGATTAGGAATTCGCAAGCAGGATTAGGAGATACATACACTTCGCAGACAAAGCGGTATGCAGTCTGGGTGTGCAGAACATCAATAACTCAATTATATTGAAGGGCACTCGTGTTCCACACACCTGGGAAAACAGCATCTGCGTTAGGAGGTTGACGGCTGTGAGGACTATCAGAGCAAAAATCATTATTCGATGAGCACGGAGACATGTGTGTCCTGACTTACGCAGAGCACATGTATAATAAAATATATTATGCTTCACCAGGATGTCATACAGAGGGCCGTTGACCACCCGCCAGCTCTGTACGGCACGTATGATCGTGAGGGAGATGAGTCCTGGGGAGAACATCAATCAGCGCGTGTGCTTCCGCTTTCCGTTGGTTTATGGTGACAAACCTAGTTGAAACGCAAGCAAGAGAAAAAACATTATGGAAACTTGGACAGCGGAGGCCCGGTAGCAGCCTTGGATGCCTGGGATCGCACTGGTCGTAACTATGAAAGTGGAGTGAATATGCGCGAATAGTGGTGAGAAGTGGTGCAAACCATGTGAGGCGTTGACAGTGACAAAATCGACGACGATGGATACAACTACCGCAGCCTGTACTGCATCTACCACGAACTTGGTGTGCGGTGAGGCAGAGGGGACTCACGAAACCGGCGAACAGCATGGCTACGAGTACGATTCTATTATTATTCCAGAGTGCATATGTTCTGAGCACAAAAAAGACTGGGTGAATCGGGTCAGGAGCACGTGTGTATCTCAGGGAAAGGAGATATACATTCAGAGCAAACGATTGATATGACGCTCAAACCTATGAGAGGACAGAGCAGCGTTCAGCAAGAATGTGCATGCAGTATGTACCGGGCACGTACATGAGTAGATAATAACCACCATCTGACATTTCTGCAAAAGACAGTAAGCAACCATCAGTGGGGCAAGTCCACTACACCGTGACGTTCACACACATTGGGGTTTTCGTTTGGGGCGAAGTACACTGAAGCACATTATGTCAATTCATGATCGATGAGACGCCCGCTGGAGCTGAACGCACAATACAGGTCCGTGATGAGGAGGAGAAATGGGACATATCGTGTAATAATATAAAGGCATTTTACCATGGTCCAGCGCGATCGAAGCAGGAACGTCAACTTTGAAGAGTGTACCATTATCAGCATAGAATCCGAAGCGTATACGAACCAGTGTATTACCTCTTCGCGAAGTGAACAAGCATAATCATAGGTCTGGATAAGTAAGCTGTCCAGCGGCAGCGGACGGGTATATTTTGGGAAACCCTACCCAGAATGTAGCCATCGACGCTAAGCTGTCGAGTTAGAACAACCTGGGATTTATGTAAGAAGAGTTCAGACAGTAGTACGCACCGGATGTGTACTGGTGGCATATCATAATGGTATGTATGTTGTTATATTATGTTACCTTCCTCATATCACAAGAAAGTGGTCGCAACCATTAAGAACTGCAGACTCTTTGCCGTTGCGACAATCGTCAGCTGAATAATAGGAGTCCGTCTGCATTTGGTTCGAGAGATAAAAAGGGGGTTTCGTGTACACTTCATGAACCATCTTATCTCTTATGAGCATAAACTGCGAACCCATCAAGACGAGGACATAGACAGCCGCATCCGAGTCAAATTGCGGGCTTAACGAGAACGGCCCTCGGGAGTTTTTCATAGTACCAAGTGTCCGTGACCGCTTACCAAAAGTAGATTGCTTCATGTCACACGGTGCGCCGCATCATGGCAAGGTTGAAGGCAAAGACTATGTAGTGACCTTGAGCTGATAAAAGCGCTCATGATAGATCTATGTCTATGATCACCCAATTGAACATTTCTGCTTATTAGAATTATAGCTATCTTCATATCGATTTTCAAATTCTGGTCTATCAATATGAAGACTGTAATCAAAGTAATCCACTGAAGATTATCCATCCTCCCCAAAACGAGATGGCCCATCTGATCTCTACATAGCCCTAGTCGGTCATTATCCTATGCGAAGCTTCTCACCGAAGCTAGTAGATGGGAACATAATCAGATTGTGGCATGGTAACAGTTTAGCTATCACGGATCACGCTGACTGTCCTCAGCTTGGGATGCTGGCTAGCCGTGATATCATACACCGTTTTGAATATGTAGTGTCTCCGAAGTACTTGGGTGTGGTTAGACGTCGAATGGAGCCATCACATACACACTCACCTTGGCAAACGGAAAGTCATCATTTGACATCGACTCTTTGAATTTGGAAGTTCCGAGAGATAGGCTCAGCACAGTGCTCATCATGATCATCAAGGAACAAGTACTACAGCTTGTGTTATTTCCGTGCATTGACCTCAAAATCGCACGGTGGAGATTCATTCCAAGCAACGATTCTGATTCCTTCTATCACCACAATCCGCCGCTTGCATCAGGAATCCCCAACGGTGAGATGCAAGTTATCAGAGTTTTGTCGTGTGATATATATTACATGGGCAACCGAGATGTAATCCATATAAGTGCAGCACGCAACATCAAACGAACATCAACAGCTAACACAATAGCCCGAGCACTTCACTTAACTATCCTTATACTGACATAATCCCTTTCCGCAGTGATCCTTTTGTACCTGCTCACTTCATGTGACGGAGTACGAGTCCGAATCACCCACCCTAGTATATTACCCCCATCACGCACAACAGAAAGCTTATAACGAGACTATGTCCAACATAGGGTCTACGACCCCAAAGGACCCCACTCTGAAGCAAAAAAAAAAAAAAAACCATATAAGTCGTGTAGGGCCACATCCGTGGCAGAGCCCGCTACCTCCTCATATCCAACGAACAATTCTTGCATGTAGATGATCACCTGAAAACATCGATCAGCGAGCAAACGAATCAAATCTCCGCGGTTGGCATGAACAAGCGATTTTTCTTCCCCGCAGCCTGGACCATATCCCTAAGACAGGCGACAGACAACGCCGATGATAAAGAGGGTAAAACTTGGATAAAACCTCCCGCAGTATATAACCAAGTAATAAACGTTGTTCTGGCAATCCTTGAGAAATCACCGCGCAAGCTTGAGGAGCACGTTGCACAGCTCCTGCTTCGATGCAAACGCCGGGAAAAAATGACGCAGAAGATCGGCCTTCATTTCTTCTCGCGACGAGTCTATATGCAGTCCGTGATCATACGTGATTCGTGATGATTGAACACCATCAGCTGAAAACAGTGACGGCGAGCAGTTTCGAACAATATCTCTCGGATCCTGCCTTCTGCTTTGACACAGCCATCAGATTTGGAAGAACCCGACTGGATAGCAATATTTATGACCGTCGACCGAAGATCCGTATACAGAATTGTTATCATCTGAACATATGACGACATCAATCAATTGTAAGACTGACAACAAACTTACCGGAGCAACATTCACGTGCAGGTAATCGGATTTCTCGATGATTCTCTGTTATATCCCGACAATACGTCATCCAGTCACAACCAAAAACCACATCGCTCGGGGCCGTGTCAATCACAAGGAATGAAAAATCAGTGGAGAAATTCGTAGAACCATCTGATATGGTGATTAAGGCTCGAAAGGGGATGGAATGTATGACACTTCGTTGGCGAAGACGGTGGAGTAAAATTTGAGAAGTAAGAAAAGATGAAGAAGCAGGCAGATCGCGCGAAGCGACGAAGTCGAGACCTTCGAATCAAAGCAATGCTGATGTAATCACAGCATCGTCCAAGGAATTGAACCGCACGAGGTACCGTGAGAACTTGTTACCATTTAATGGGTATTTGTGAAAAACATGACAAGAAAGCTCAAGAAAGACCCTCTACCTGAAGGTAGCGGGAATACCTTGGTCGCCACATTTGAACATCCAATATTCTATCCAGTCATTAGAATATGTAACAGCGGTGTGTAAACATCAAAGAACTCACACTAAGTACCTAGTACCCATAAAACACGCTCTGAAGTCTTTCATGCCACTCGTTGCCCAGTGCCCAACACCTGCTGAGCAAATTCCGCTCGGTCTGCTATCCACTTTCCACTTGTTTTAAAGCAAGCAGGGGGATAAATAACCGTTTCTTCACGAACCTGTCGATACCTCAGCACCTCACGCACAACGCGTCCATCTCCTTTCTCCACCACCAACTTCCGATGCCTAGCACGTAACTTACATGGGTTCTCATGTGACATATGTACTCAGCAGAACCCCAAGGATTCTAACTTTACACGTGGACAATAAGTCTATACGTACAGTGACTCCGGAGCTTGATACATTGATGTTTGGCTAGATTCGAGCTAATCGGGTGACGTCCTGCATCAGTAAAGTCCACAGACTCGGAATCAGACTTGCACCTAACTGAGGTAGCGTTCGAAGGCTGCCAATTCACAGGGATGGACTACTGTACAGTGAAAACTCGACACCCATGGATATTAAATAGACCAAGACCATCCAAATGTAACCTCAGGCTCCCGCCCACGACAAAAAAATGCAGTCCTATAAGTTAAGCGCATCCCGAACAAGCCCAGTCACCCCACGATTCAGAGTCATCTTATCCAGTCCAAACCTCACTCCACAGCAACGCCGAATAATCCACGCGATGAGACGTCACACCGTCGTGACCGTGCATTCTGCAGGTTACATGTCAGACATAGAAATATGCACGAGGGCCTCAGAGCCATGCATCTGCCGGTCGATCTGCCAGAGAAAGAGGTGCATGCGCGTAGCAAGGATCGCGAGGATAAAGAACTGGAGACTGTACGTGTGGTTTATGTCGTGATTAGGAGTTCGCAAGCAGGATCAGGAGATACATACACTTCGCAGACAAAGCGGTATGCAGTCTGGGTGTGCAGAACATCAATAACTCAATTATATTGAAGGGCACTCGTGTTCCACACACCTGGGAAAACAGCATCTGCGTTAAGACGTTAACGGCTGTGAGGACTATCAGAGCGAGAATCATTATTCGATGAGCACGCAAACATGTGTGTCCTGACTTACGCAGAGCACATGTATAGTAAAATATATTATGCTTCACCAGGATGTCGTACAGAGGGCCATTGACCACCCGCCAGGTCTGTACGGCACGTATGATCGTGAGGGAGATGAGTCCTGGGGAGAACATCAATCAGCACGTGTGATTCCGGTTTCCGTTGGTTTCCGGTGACAAACCTAGTTGAAACGCAAGCAAGAGAATAAACATTATGGAAACTTGGACAGCGGAGGACCGGTAGCAGCCTTGGATGCCTGGGATGGCGCTGATCGTCACTATGAAAGTGGAGTGAATATGCGCGAATAGTGGTAAGAAGTGGTGCAAACCATGTGAGGCGTCGGCAGTGGTAAGATCAAGGACGACGCATGCAACTACCACAGCCTATACTGCATCTATCACGAGCTCAGAGTGCGGTGAGGCTGAGGGGACTCACGAAAAAGGCAGACAACATGACTCTGAGTATGATTCTATTGTTATTCCAGAGCGCATATGTTCTGAGCACAAAAATGACTGGATAAATCAGTTCAGGAGCACGTGTATATCTCAGGGAAAGGAGATATACATTCGGAGCAAGCGACTGATATGATGCTCAAACCTGTGAAAGGACAGAGCAGCGTTCGGCAAGAATGTGCATGCAGTATGTACCGAGCACGTACATGAGTAAATACTAATCACTGTCTGACATTTCTGCAAAAAATAGTAAGCATTCATCAGTGGGTCAAGTCCACAGCACGTTCACATACATTTGGATTTTCGTTCGGGGTGAAGTACACTGAAGAGCAGTATGTCAATTCATAATCGGTGAGATGTGTGTTGGAGTTGAACGCACGATACATGTCGTTGAGGAGGAGGAGAAAGGGGACATGTCGTGTAATAATATAAAGGCTTTTTACCATGGTCCAGCGTGATCGAAGCAGGAACGTCAACTTTGTTGAAGAGCATGTCATTATCAACATATATTTCGAAGCGTATACGAACCAGTGCATTACCTCTTCTTGCAGTGAACAAGCATAATCATAGGTCTGGATAAGTAAGTCTAGCAGCGGACGGGAATAGTTTGGGAAACCTTACCCAGAATGTAGCCATCGACGCTAAGCTGTCAAGTTAGAACAGGGATCCAAGGAAAGTTCAGACAGTAGTGCGCACCGGATGTGTACTGGTGGCACATCATGATAGTATATCTGTTGTTATATTACCCTCCTCACATCAGCAAGAAAGTGACGCACCGCTAAGAACTGCAGGCTCTCTGCTGTTGCGATATCATCAGCTGAATAGTAGGAGACCGTCTGCATTCGTTCGAGAGGTAAATTGAAAGGGCTTTCGTGCACACATCATGAACCTTCTTATCTTTTATGAGTAAAAACCAAGAACCCGTCAAGATGGTGACAATCGCTTCGAATTGCGGGCTTAACAAAAACGTCAATGATCAACGCTGGTTTGCTGGTCAGCCGGCCTATGATCAATCGATCTTGGGAGTTTTGCATAGTCCACCGCGGTGACCGCTTATACCAAAAGTAGATTACTTCATTATCACACGCTTCGGCAAAGACTGACTTTGATCAAGCACTCACTGCATCCTATTTTAAACTTTTCTGCTTGTCAGAAGTACAGGCCTGGTATCTTGACATGAATAGACCAAAATTCACTTAGCTTGTTATTGGAGTGACCAAACACAGGCGCTTGATATGCTGTACCACCCCACAAAAGCCGGTTGACAACTTACAAAAATAGCTAACATCATTTAGTATGTACGTGCACAGCGTCTCTGCTATACATAGCCTGAGTCGGTCATTATCCTGCGCCTTCTGACCAAAGCTAGTGGGTTGGAACACGATCAGATTGTGGCATGGCTATCACGAATCATGCCGACTGTCCTCAGCTTGAGATGCGGGCCAGCCATGACATCATGCACCGTTTTGTCTGAAGTACTTGGGCGTGGTTAGATGTCGAATGAAGCCATCACATACACAGCCCGCAGCAGAGCATGCTCACCTTGGCATTCGGAACGTCATCGTTTGATATCAACTCATTGAATTTGGAAGTTCTGAGGGATTCAGATGGGCTCTGATCAGCGCAGTGCTCATCATGATCATCAAGCAATCGCCTACAGACGGCATTGATCGTCCTCGCGCAAGCCTGGACCAGGACTACAAGATACCCACAATGCAAACAAACATAGAGTACCATAGATTGCAATACCGCATGTACTGTCTAACATAGGGCTTCGCCCCCACGGACAATAAACAAGGATCAAAAAAAAAAAGATCATCAAGGAACAAGTATTACAGCTTGTGTTACTTTGACCTCGAGCTCAGAATTGCACGGTGGAGATTCATTCCAAGCAACGATTCCGATTCATTCTATCACCACAAACAGTCGCCTGCATCTGGAACACCAACATTATCAGAGTGTTATCGTGTGATAAATATTACATGGGCAACCGAGATATAATCCTTATACCTTAAGTTAGCCGCCACATTTAAACATCCAATATTCTATCCGGTCTTTAGAATATGTAACAGCGATGTATAAGCATCAAAGAACTCACACTACTGTCAACACCCTAAGTCTGTTGTTGGAGCTCTGACAACGATCCTATAGAAAGGAACAAGATAGATTGCTGGTTACAAGACTGCGGTGGTAGAATAAACAAGGTCGAAAACAGGGAACAGAACTACTGACAACTTTTATAACGCAGGTTGAAAGTCCGCTAGTCCCGGAAACACTCGGACCGCTCTTTTCATCACAACTACCCATAGAACACGCCATGAAGTCTTTCATGCAACTCGCTGCCCAGCGCCTGCTGAGCAAATTTCGCTCGGTCTGCTATCCACTCCCCACTTGTTTCAAAGCAAGCAGGGGGAGTCTGGGGGACAAATAACTGTTTCTTCAAGAACCTGTCGATACTCCAGTACCTCACGCACAACACGTCCATCTCCTTTCTCCACCACCAACTTCAAGAGCTTCTTGGCCAGTGCGCAGCACATGCGCGAAGTCTGCCCATAATATCCAACGATAGTCGATGGGATAGGTCAGCGCAAGAGGTGGAAGGAGAAGGGATACGAAGATCGGGTGTGAATTGTCGAGGTGCATTGAACTCGCCGTAATATCATCCGACTCCCAAGGTCTGCATGTGGATACAGTGAATTCTCAATCCTCACCTTCATCAACTCTCGACCCAGGGGTTTTTGGTTTTTCTCGTTTGTTGACGCCCTTTCAGATCCACCCTTATACAAATCCTAAACCACACAAGTATCAGTCCAATAACTCAAGGTCATCACATTCTACTGCTTGGGTATTCTTTCACGACGGGTGAAACTATGCAATCCCTCCATTCGCTTACTGACTGACCATCATTGCGGATGTTCAGGAAGCTAAGTATCCCGATTCTCTGAAGGTTAAGATTCGAGAGTTAACGTTCAGGGCTGTGCCTAGCATGTAACTTACATGGGTTCTCATGTGACATTTGTACTCGGCAGAAACCCCAAGGGTTCTAACTTTACATGTGGACAATAAGTCTCTACGTACAGTGACTCCGGAGCTTGATACATTGATGTTTGGCTAGATTCGAGCTAATCGGGTGACGTCCTGCATCAGTAAAGCCCACAGACTCGGAGTCAGACTTGCACCTAACTGGGGTAGCGTTCGAAGGCTGCCAATTCACATGGATGGACTACAGTGAAAAATCGACACCCATGGACATTAAATAGACCAAGACCATCCAAATGTAAGCTCAGGCTCTCGCCGACGACAAAAATGCCTATAAATTAAGCGCATCCCGAACAAGCCCAGTCACCCCACGATTCAGAGTCATCTTATCCAGTCCAAACCTCACTCCACAGCAACACCGAATAATCCGCGCGATGAGACGTCACACCGTCGTGACCGTGCATTCCGCAGGTTACATGTCGGACATGGAAATATGCACGAGGGCCTCAGAGCCATGCATCTGCCGGTCGATCTGCCAGAGAAAGAGGTGCATGCGCGTAGCAAGGATCGCGAGGATAAAGAACTGGAAACTGTACGTGTGGTGTGTGTCGTGATTAGGAGTTCGCAAGCAGGATCAGGAGGTACATACACTTCGCAGACAAAGCGGTATGCAGTCTGGGAGTGCAGAACATCAACAACTCAATCATATTGAAGGGCACTCGAGTTCCACACACCTGGGAAAACAGCATCTGCGTTGTGACGTTAACGGCTGTGAGGACTATCAAAACAAAAATCATTATTCGATGAACACGGAATCATGTGTGTCCTGACTTACGCAGAGCACATGTATAGTAAAATATATTATGTTTCACCAGGACGTCATACAGAAGGCCGTTGACCACCCGCCAGCTCTGTACGGCACGTATGATCGTGAGGGAGATGAGTCCTGGGGAGAACATCAATCAGCGCGCATGCTTCCTGTTTACGTTGGTTTCCGGTGACAAACCTAGTTGAAACGCAAGCAAGAGAATAAACATTATGGAAACTCGGACGAAGGACGAGGACCGGTAGCAGCCATGGATGCCTGGGATGGCGCTGATCGTAACTAGGAAAGTGGAGTGAATAAACGCGAATAGTGGTAAGAGGTGGTGCAAACCAAGTGAGGTGTCGACAGTGGCAAAATCAACGACGACGGATGCAACTGTCACAGCCTGTACTACATCTACCACAATCTTGGAGTGCGGTGAGGCTGAGGGGACTCACGAAAAAGGCGGACAACATGGCTATGAGTACTGTTCTATTATTGTTCCAGAGCGCATATGTCCTGAGCACAAAAAAGACTGGATGGATCAGACAGGAACATGTATATATCTCAGGAAAGGGATATATACGTTCGGAGCAAGCGACTGAAATGACGCCCAAACCTGTGAGAGGGCAGAGTAGCGTTTGGCAAGAATGTTCATGGAGTATGTACCGAGCACGTACATGAGTAGATGGTAATCACTGTCTGACATTTCTGCAAAAAATAGTAAGCATTCATCAGTGGGTCAAGTCCACTGCACGTTCACACACATTTGGGTTTTTCGATCGGGGTGAAGTACACTGAAGCGCAGTGTGTCAATTTATAATCGGTGAGATGTGTGCTAGAGCTGAACGCACGATACAAGTCCGTGATGAGGAGGAGAAAGGGGACATATCGTGTAACAATATAAAGGCCTTTTACCATGGTCAAGCGTGATCGAAGCAGGAATGTCAACTTTGAAGAGCATATCAATATCAACATATAATTCAAAGCATATACAAAGCAATATATTACCTCTTCGTGAAGTGAACAAGCATAATCATAGATCTGGATAAGCAAGTCTAGCAGCGGACGGAAATATTTGGGAAACCCTACCCAGAACGTAGCCATCGACGCTAAGCTATCAAATTAGAACAGGGATCTAAGAAGAGTTTAGACAGTAGTACGCACTGGATGTGTACTGGCAGCACATCATGATGGTAATGTCTGTTGTTATATTACCCTCCTCATATCAGCAAGAAAGTGACACACCGTCAAGAACTGTAGGCTCTTTGCCGCTGCGATATCGTCAGCTGAATAGTAGGAGACCGTCTGCATTCAGAGGTAAATTGAAAGGGCTTGAGTCGTGCACACCTCATCATGAACCTTCTTATCTCTTATAAGCATAAACTGCAGACTCATCAACATGGTGAAATAGATAGTCGATTCAAATTGCGGGCTTGACAACAACGCCAATTAATGATCAACGGTTCTATGATGGCGTTGTAGTACTGGTCAGCCATGGTCGGGACTCGGAGTTTCCATTGAGTGTGAGGCTGTGAGCGCTTACCAAAAGTAGATTGCTTCGTGTCACAGCGTAAGCTTGATCTTAAGCTTAAGCACTCACTGCAATATTCTGCATCCTATGTACTTATATATGATTTTAAACCTTTCCGCTTATTAGAATTACAGAATTATCTTCATAATCGATAGACCAGATTTTGAAAATTTCACTTAGCTCTTTTATTTGTTATTGGAGGGACTAAACAGAGGCGCTTGGCATGGCATTTGCACCGCCCCACACAAGCCCCACAAGGTCAACTCCTCACAAAAGCAGCTAGCACATATGTATGTGAGCGCCCCTATTAGAACAGTCAGTAAAATTTCCAAATTCTGGTCCGAATCAGTGTAATCACAGTAATGATTCTCCATCCCCACCGAATCCCCAAACCGCTAGATGGCCCGGCAAACTGTTCAATTTGATTAGCTTCTTTAGTCGGTCATACTATCATCCTGCGCCTTCTGACTGAAGCTACTGGATGGGAACATAATCAGATTGTGGCATGGTAACTAAGCTATCGCGGATCACGCCTAGACTGGTGATCATAGACGGGCTGGTCACGAGTCTAGATCACGCCGACTGTCCTCAGCTTGAGATGCGGGCTAGCCGTGACATCATACACCGTTTTGGATGTACGGGTGTGGTCAGATGTAGAATGAAGCCATCACATACATGCAGCCCGCAACAGGGCGTGCTCACCTTGATATTCGAAAAATCATTTGGAAGTTCCGAAGGATGGGCTCAGCGCAGTGCTCATGGCGATCATCAAGGAACAAGTACTACAGCTTGTGTTATTTCCGAGAATTGATTTCAAAATCACACGGCGGAGATTCATTTCAAGCAACGATTCCGATTCATTCTATCACCACAATCCGCCGCCTGCATCAGGAACCCCCAACGGTGGGATGCAAGTTATCAGGTTTTGTCGTGTGATAAATATTAAACGGGCAACCGAGATGTAATCCATATGCCTCAGCCGCCGCATTTGAACATCCAATATTCTATCCAGTCGTCAGAATATGTAACAGCGATGTATGAACATCAAAGAACTCACACTACGGGCCATAAAACACGCCCTGAAGTCTTTCATGCAACTCGTTGCCCAGCGCCTGCTGAGCAAATTTCGCTCGGTCTGCTATCCACTCCCCACTTGTTTCAAAGCAAGCAGGGGGATAAACAACCGTTTCTTCACGAACCTGTCGATACCTCAGCACCTCACGCACAACGCGTCCATCTCCTTTCTCCACCACCAACTTCAACAGCTTCTTGGCTACATCCTCCTGCTCAGCCCCAACTTCCTCGGATCGAAGATCAGGCCAGATATTGCACGCCACGTGATGTACCGCAACAAGGCACAGGAATCCATCCACTGATCCTTGGAGAAGCGGACCGACGTATTTTCCGATCATTTCACCTTTCTCGACCGGGTACAAGAAATCTCTGAGATCCCCTGCGACGACCTGGTCCACAGGGGTACGTACAGTACGCAGCACATGCGCAAAGTCTGCCCATAGTATCCGACGATAGTCGATGGGATAGGTTAGCGCAAGAGGTGGAAGGAGAAGGGATGCAAAGATCGGGTGTGAGAAGGAGATAGCGTCGTATAGTGCCAGGAAGTCCGTGTAGAACTGGTAAAAAGGTGTGCCCGATCCGAGGAATGGCAGAGAGGCCTGCTCCAGGTCAATATCAGGCAATTTGGATGAGGGTGACGAAGTGGAGGTAGCACCGAGGGTAAAAGGTGCGAGGAGGTCAGACATTAATTTCGAAACAATGTGATCTCGGAACACTTCTTCTTCGTCTCCTGTTGCTGACGAGGGATATTCCTGCTGCTGGCCGTGTTCGAGCATGAACACTTTCATGCAAGCAAAAACCATCTCTGAGCGCTTCAGGGCGAATTGGCTTAAGTTATATCGCACTACAATTTCTTGCGTAGCTTTGGCAAGCAGCAGCGACGTGCGAACGATGTCAACTTCCGATGCGTCCCAAGAGGAAGGAAGTGCCTTAAAAACGGGCGAAGACCCGGACCGGAGAAGATGGTCAATTGGTGAGGTAAGCCACACACGAGGCAACGGAAGGCCAGTTAGGCGATGCTCATCGGGGACAGATGGTAAGGAGCTGGACGACGGAAGGCGAAGAGTTGTACACCGCATGATCGATTCCGGTGTGACGTCGCTGGGGGCAATGTATACCTCCCGGTTCGGGCGAATTGCGTAGTCCAGAAAAGGCTTGATCACGCTCCATCCGCCCTTCTCCCAAATGCTAGGGGGTGCCATTGCGCCGAGGAACTGTGGCGTGAGGATCGCTAAAATAGCCCCAAGGATCTGAAAAGCGTGCTCTTCTTCTCCAGGGAGCTGCCTTTCGAGAATTGCCACACCCTGTGCAACCCAGAGATCAGGTGAGGTCCCTGGAATATGTCGCGATAATCTATGGAAATACGCCAAAAATGTCGCCAGGTGCTTGCAGGCAGCTTGCTCAACACCTGTAACAAGCGACCAAAGGGAATGCGAGACGACAAAGGCACAGAAGGACGATAGCTCAGTGAAAGGAAGGTTAAACGGCGGGGGTACCAAGCGGTGCGGTATTGTTCGCGTCGGTGTTCGCGATAGCCGTGCATGCAAGCCAGAGACGGACCGCAGAGGAAAGCACGCGCGCATGCATGCCAATACGCTGCAGGCGCTGATATCGCTCTGGTAGTGGTGTGTCATGTATCTGTGCGAGTTCAGTGCGCAGAGCTTCTAGGGAAGCTGTTACTACGCTATGTTCAACTCCCTTGATAAAGCCGTCCTGGATTGTGTTGAGAGTCTCTGCACGCTCTCCCTCCCCTCCCCTGATGCCGTTGACCCGAGCACCCTCGAGCCATGCAGACGAAGCACTCCAGATGGCTGCCCATACTTCCGCTTCCCCTTCAGTTATTCCCTGGCGAAACTGAAGTACCTCGGCACCCCAGCCCCAGCTAGTCACCTGGCTCCACAAGATATCATGCGGTGGAGTCGTGTGATGGGGATCCGTGGCACAAACTATCCATGCTTCCACAAGTCCTGCCCATGCCACTTTCAGCGGTCTCGAGTTAGATGAGACGATATAGATGAACAAAGAAGCAAAATAGGAAGCGGCAGATGTCGCTATATGCGAATATAGACCGTAGGAGGCAAGAGTGGCGTATAGGCGGAGGGTTTCTATGAGAAGATTTGTGGCAAGAGACTCGGGGAAGGGCGAAGTAGGAGGCAGCATAGTAATAAAACGAAGAAGAGCATCGGCTGGCTCACATAGTGCCATAGCGTTGGTCCGAGAGGATGACGCAAGGACAATGAGGCACCGGAGAGCGACAGGGTTAGGCAGGGGTGTGTCTGATGGGGGTGGTATGGGCGTAAGAAGAAACGTCTGTATTAGGGCGGAGAGCAACCGAGGGGTCTTCACGATTGATTCAGCAATATTATTCGACTCCTGCGATAACTGATAGACAATGGACAGAAGTTGGGCCAGAGATTCGGGGGGTAAGGATGCTTGCGCGAAGAGTTCTGTGGCTTGGGTGAGGAAGTCGGGCACTTGCAAAACGGACATGATGGCAGGAGCGAGATCTAACTCGGCACGCTCAGCATCAAACAGGGCATTCCAGCCGACAATACACTCCCAGACAACCTCAATGGCCCGGACACCGACGCCACCTTTCTCGTTCATCGCGGAGAGTCCGGCAGTGAGAATACGTTTTCGTAGTTCCTCCTCCTTCCCCTGTAGCTCTGAAATCCTGTCTGCGTAGTGAGGGTCCCTCGCTTGCATGCCCAACCGGCGCGCGATTCCAATCAAGATATTAAGCATTGTGGTGCGTTGCGCGGGGACAGTGGAGCGAGACAGAAAAAATATATCATCAAGAGTGTACCCTGCGTGATCTCCATCCGCGTGATGGTGCAAACCCAGATGAGAAGGCAAAGTGGCGGAGATTTCTGCAGGTATGGGAGCACCCGTCAGATCGAAGCGGAGTAAAACGGGCTCCGAATTAGACGACGAAGATTTCATCCAAGACACTGATGGGTTGTCCGCAGGCACATTTGGGAAATATCGTCTCCGAATATATTCTGGAGTGCCTTCCTCAGGCTCTGATCTATCATTCGTAATCTTCTGTACAGGCCTGTCGTTACCCTTATGAGTTGTAGGAGAAAGGGGTCGCTTCCGCGGCAAACCATTCTCTTTAAAGGTGCCCAGAGAAACAATTGATGAGTCTGGAGCATCTGGAGGCGGAGGGAGCGCAAGGGCCTTTCGTTTGGGAGACACTGGGGCAGACTCATACACGTAGACATCAGCAGGCGTCAATGCCGCAAAGCGAAGTTGACGACCAGCTTTACTGGGCGACGAAGGTCTAGTACTGCTTTTCACCAGGATTGGGGGAGCTAAGATGTAGCTTTCGTGTTAAAATACCCATCAGACCCGGGGAGCGACGTGCCTCTTTTCCCGAAATCTTCCAGGCTCTTGACCCTTGAAAGGTTGCGTCTGATAGCAAGACCAGGTAGTGAAGAAACGATCGGTATTTCGCGGGAAACCTCTGGAGCCTGCTCATTTTGTACAAGTATACCTTCAGCTATAGCGGGAGCCTTCGTTGTCTTTCTTGATCTTGCAGCGCGTACACGCTCCAGAAGGTCTCCTGCACCACTTCCCAGTTGCTCTAAAACCTCGCGCCTCTCTGTTTCTCGCTCCTCTTCAGTCATATTGGCCACTCTGCGCTCGTTCTCTTCACTAATCTGTTGACGTATAGCATCATCAGCGGTGTGTGAATCTACCTCAAGGTCTCGAGATTGAGGTTGTCCGACGGGACCCGCAGGTATTACGAGGGGTACAGTTGTGGGCCTGACATTGCTACTGCCCCTTTCCTCTTCTTTGGCACGAGCAAATGCGCTCTTTGACCTGTGTTGAACAGCTGGAAACCCTGAGCCAGGAGTTTTTGCGAATCTTGGAGAGGGTAGGCTTTGGGCTGTAGATGTCTTGCGCTCAAATACAGAGCCAATCAGGGAGCGTTCAGCGGAAGACATTCGCAGTTGCAAAACGCAAGGAGGTCATAAGTAGAAGGAGTGTACTGCCAGTTCATCAGGCTTGGTGGGCAAAGGGACAAAAATTTCCAAAGTATGCAGTTACGTAATAATAGTATGTTATTTAGCTAAACTTTCGACTTATTGCCTTATCAAGTTACCAACTTCAATCGATATCTGTGAAGTGAGTACTGCGGCCAAGAGCCCTGATCCTGGACCATGTCATGCGCATCTGTATGTGGTGGGGCATTTGAAAGTATTCCAATCATGTACGGTGACTTCTGTATTTCTCCGCAAATTTGACGGTGCCTCGAATCTTAGTGATCTGGAGGATGCATTTAGCGAAGATGAAGCTCTACGACGTGCCCTGGCACAACAAATTCGAATCGCATGCATGGATGTTGGATTCTTTTATGGTACGCCCAGCCTGGTATCTGTCCGTCTCGCATTTTATGACGTGAACTCCAGTCAAGAACCATGGCATAGCACAGCATTGTCTTGACGAAGTCCTTAGAGTGAACAAGGAGTACTACTCGTTTCCAGCTGAGGAAAAGATGAAAGTGTGTCTATCCAAATGCTGCAGTTGACTGACAGCATGAAACATCCACGACTAGCTTCACCATAAGACTGCACTAAATTTCAAAGGCTATAGCCCTCCATTGGAAGCAAACATCCAACCAGGCAACAAAGGTGACTTACATGAAGGTTTCCGCATTGGCTGGGAAGAAAAATCTGGGGATCCAATGGTTCAAAACGCTTCTCGCGATGGAGTGATGTCAGGTGCAAATGTCTGGCCGGATAGACCTGAAGATTTTAGAACCGCTTGCATGGACTATTAGTCGAGTTGATGATCGCTTTTCGAGACATCGGAAACTCACGATGCAGTCTACAGTCACGCTGCCCTTGCCGTCGGAAAGAAGCTGTTTTGCCTCTTCGCGCTGGCGCTCGACCTACCCGAAACGTACTTCGACAACAAGGTTGGTCTCTGCGTGGCCGGGTACGGTGTCTAGCACAGGTCATAGTTTATTTGAATAGACCGTGCATTCGGCCGCTACCATGCGTACCCTCCACTATCCGCCTCAGCCAGATGCTGCAGATGATAAAATACTGGGAATCGGAGCTCATACTGAGTGAGTCATTTCGAAGCCATCCTGTCGATGCATGATCTTGATGCCATTCGGGTTTAACAGTTTTGTGGTGAGTTCAAATGTCTGAGTTCGTTATATACTGAACCATGGGCAGTGTTTCACGATTCTCTGGCAACAAACAGGCCTTGAGGCTCTCCAAGTTTTGAACTCTCATGAACAATGGATCAACGTACCACCACTGCCAGGAACCCTCGTTATCAAGTACGGATATTTCGCGTGCTTCCTACTTTATTTTCTAGATTCGGTTACTAACACTAGACTATCAGTCTTGGAGATCAGTTTGCGCGTTGGACAAGTGCGTACTAGTAGACCCCACTGTCCTAAGTGATTTACACGGGGTGCTGATCACGTTGTACAGACAACATTTTCAAGTCTACCGTGCATCGAGCCGCCAACAAGAACATTATTGATCGGTATTCCATCGCACTATTCTTCGGCACTGACTACGAGGTTAACATTGAGGCCAGTCAACTGAATATTGTTTTACGCTATCTGATGGGTCTCATTCGACAAATCACAGCCAATCTATACCTGCGTGACAGCTGAAAGACCAGCAATATATCAGGCCATCACCGCTGGAGAGTATGTGAAGCAACGATTGAAAGCCATGTATAATAAGTAAATTGTAGTTGCTACTTTGGGAGCATTTCGGATACAGGTTTCGGCGAATATGATGTACAAACTTTATCTTATTTCGTTCGGAACAACGTGGAGAAACACTTCTATCTTCTTCCTTCCCGCCTTCTTCATCAACAATCATGTCTTTAACAGAGTCGGCGTCCGTTATCGATGGTGCTTTTCAAGATATACCAATCATGTCTGTTTACTGGTCAAATTCATTTGCCAAGAACGACTCTGTTGACTTCACCGCAGCGATCTTTCTCGTGCAACGAGTCCAGATGAGAACGAGAGGAAAGGCCTTGCGTATCAGATACGCGATGCATGTATGAATGTAGGGTTTTTCTATGGTAAGCCTTCTGTAGACGCATAGAAACAACACTTCTGCGACGTCATGTCACTTTACATTTACTGGCAGTCAAGAACCATGGGATACCACCGGAATATATAGCTAATATCCTTGAAGTCAACAAGGAATACTTCAAGCTTCCAACTGAGGAAAAGCTTAAGGTGTCGATCATGAAGCTTTCATCTCTTCAGAATTACTAATCGACAGTGTTCTTGTATAGCTCAACCACAAGACTGTCGCCAACTTCAAAGGATACACACCACTACTCGATGCCAACATTGAACCTGGGAACAGAGGCGACCTGCACGAAGCGTTCCAAATTGGCTGGGAGGAGCTCGAGGCAAAGGCCCATGACGAGAAGCGCGCAAATGATGGTGCCATGGCGGGCGCTAATGTATGGCCCGAGCGTCCCGAAGGGTATAGAGAAGGCATGTTGAAATACTAGTGGGTACTTCCGCCTTGATGGGTGATATATCAACTTATAGCTTCGTTAGCCATGCCGCAGTAGCTGTTGGAAAGATACTTTTCCCATTGTTCGCACTATCTTTGGATTTGCCAGAGAGATATTTTGACGACAAGGTGCAGTGCCGTTGCAATGAATGTTATGAGATCTTCGGACTTTGATTAAATGTTTTGCAGACGAAGAACTCGGCCGCCATTATGAACATGTTACACTACCCCCCACAAACAGGTCCTGCGGATGATCGTATCGTCGGCATTGGTGCCCACACGGAGTGTGTGATTCATTGCTGACTTCCTTCTTTTACCATATTGATGCCTTGTAAACATTTAGCTTTGAGGTGCGATTCAATTACCTCGGAACTCCGTCATGATTCGCATCAATTGTGTTGCAGTGTTTCACGATACTCTGGCAACAGCCAGGAATCCAAGCGCTGCAAATTCTGAATTCCCAGAAGCAGTGGATTGAAGCCCCACCCGTTGATGGAACGCTGGTTATTAAGTGATCAGACCTGCTCCTAACTCGGTTTCAATGGCTGATTGTCTTGTACAAGCCTGGGTGACCAGTTCGCTAGGTGGACAAGTACGTTTTTCGCACCATGCTATGACTTCATCTCAGCGTTCAATTTTTAGATGATATTTTCAAGTCTACGGTCCACAGGGCTGTCAATAGGAATGGCATTGACCGATATTCTATTCCCTTATTCTTCGGCACCGATTACGATGTTAACATCGAGGTTCGTGCTTGTTTATTGTCTGGATACTCGACAGTTGAGACAGTTGAGCAGCCTATTGCAAGTTGTGTATCTGCCGAGCGACCCGCGAGGTATGGACCCGTATCAGCCGGCGAGTATGTCAATCGACGCTTGAAGGAAATGTATTACTAGACGACCTGAGCTTGTAACTTTATCAATGGTTTCATTATTTGGTCTCGGGTTAGGCTCAATGAGATTTAATTAGGCGGGACCTCTCATGGCAGAGATCGTACGTGACGTGTCTCCCGTGATGGACTGCAAGTGCACTTAGACTAACAGTCCCTCAATGTCTCGGAAATACAAGCACTATAGTTAGATCGCGCTGGGCAACATGAACACGACGCGTAACAGAACTCATATAGCTCAAGAAAGTCCAAGATGTAAAAGCCTATTTCGCCACTGACATTAATTTACAGCTTCGCTGTTTTTGCGAATAAGACCTAAAGCTGTCAACCATGCTGCATCACGCCGCAGCCGGGTGAGTCGCCTGCCATCCACCCTGTAGAAAGAATACATGTTCAGAAAATTACCCAAATCAAGGATACGCTTAGGCTTACGCTAAAGACACCGTCGTGGTGCTGCCAGTCGCATATGTAGACAGGACGACCCTTGTCCTGTCTGTGTTCAGCAACAGCAGTCGACACCAGAGAGATTTCTATGGGAGTAACATTGCGAGAAGTGGTTTGGTGGCTTGGTATCTGGGGGGCCTCTGTGCCTCCCTCAGCCCTGGCAAGCTCTGAGCCAGTAGCATCCACAATCTTTCCAAAGAGCTCTCCCTTGATGTGAGCGAGTGTCTGGTCGAATGTAGCCACCATTTTGCTGTCAGCGTTCGATTTCATGATACTCTCGATCAATGCGGGAGGGATGGGAATAATGCCGTGGATTACAGTTCCCGCTTCACGACGCAGAATACACGCTTTACAAGGGGAATGGTCTGGTCGTGCAAAGACTGTGACGGTGCCTACGATCTGCGGAGCCGAATGATCGTTTCCTTTATGGTGGAGCTGGAATGAGTAGGAGCTATTGAAAGCATGCTCCAGAAGTTTCACATGCACAGCAAATGTGCGATATTCAGGAATAACGGTATGGTCGACTGGCACAGCAGGATGGTCCTTGTCTGGAACAGGAAGTTGTGTCCAAGCGGGCGCTGTCACCTGTTGCACCGTGGTTTGTGGATCAAACCCGTAGTGGGCCGCAACCTTCTTGCGCGCCAAGGCACGCTCGTCGGCTGACATAGCAGCTCGATTAACTTCAATGCCTGCAAACTCGGGATACGAATAATCTGACCGAGGTGAGCTTGTGTCATCCTAGACAAGATTGCTACGTACACTTGGGGTACGCGTCTGCATGCAAAAATCGAGCTTGAGAAGAGGTCCAGTAGTCTCCTTGTTCCGTTCGGAATGGTTGGAGTGGCCCGTCTGGAAGGAGTTGTGCGTTGTAAACTTCCGCATATGTACCGAGTTGCTATAAGACAACTACTGAGTACTTGCATCAGGACATCGTCCAACCCAATACCTGTGTCCAAGGGTATGATTGCCCTTTGATTTTATACCCGCTTTCCATCCAGTACTCGGTATAGCACCACTCCCATAGCGCCACTTTGGGAATTCAGTCACAAGAAAACACCCTTGAACCAAATCGCACATACACAGTCTGTCCACATTGGAATGGTGAACTGGAGAGGGACAAAGCCATGTAAGTCATGCATGTAAGTAACTTGCGCCCAATTACGCACGGAAAAATAAAGGATCGAAGCCGGCCTATTTGAAGAGAGCTCAACATCGTTATGGTGGGTCAGAGCGTTACTCACAACGTCCGGGGCACTCTGTAAGTATGTTTAACGAAGATAAACAGTTCCGTTCAGATACAGGAATTTACAACTAACCATGTGTCCGGTTCCACCCTAAGTCATTGCTGGAGTAAGCATATTTCAAAGGTTGAAACAAATGTATGTCACCTACAACCAATATATGAACAGCATCGTGCACACCTTCAAGCGACCCAGAGTTGTAATCATCCATTTCTCTCTTCGACTCCGTAGTATGATTGGAAAATTCGTCCCAGCTATCAAGATGTCAGTCAGTACATAAGACTAGCAAAAGTTAAGACATACGCTAATGCAGAATCCTCGTCATCATTTACTGCAAAGAGCTGAGCGACTTTGCTTCTTAGATCCTTTGCCCCCGCTTTGAACGCCCTTACAAAGTTCAAATCAGTTCCCGCATCGCGCGATATCATGTCTCGATCGATACTTACTTTTGTAACTGGTCTATGTTGCTGCCTTCAGGGTTCGCGGTACTAGCAGCATGGCGGTATGTCCTGTGCCACTTGGAGAAGTATGCCACTTGTCCCGTCTGTTGACCACATTTTTGAGCAAGTTCCGCGATATGGAAAGGCAAAAGTATCATACACTGAGCGTCTCGTCGGAAAAGTCGGATGGGATCCCATCGACGAACGAGAAAAATGAGAGTGGATTATCAACAATTTGTTTTTGACCTCCAGCAGCCACGATTTCCACTTTGTTTTCGTACAAAACAGGAGGAAGGCCATTCTCGGAAACATCCTTCTCGGCCCAATCCCAGTATCTGCGTGGAATATAATCGTCTGAATAAGTTAGAAATGATTTAGTACGCACGGAAAGCGCAGTTCCTTGGCAGCCTTGAGCCACACTCCACATTCATGCGGGTTTTTAGCTTCAATATCGTGGGCCAATTGATCAGCGATGTTTCCGATGGATTGCTGCAATACCATCGAGCAACGTGTCAGTAACGATCATTTGTTGAGCATACCTCAAGAAGCATGACGTATGGGCGGTGCCAAGTGGGAAAAAAAACGGAGCCATGGCTAAACAAAGGTTTCAAAATCGGCAGAGCGAGGGGGAGCATACTAGCTTACTTGCAATAACCTGTCACAGGCAGCATTGTCAGGCTGCGGCAAACTACAATGGAAATGACCAAATACCTCCGAATCTGGCGGGAACGGGATTGGTATCTTTCTTGTCAGTAGCACTATAGTCAGTTGAGGTGTCCTTGTTGCGGTCGCCTGCCCATTCAATGAAGGGCCTTCCGTGAATCGACGCAATTTCCATGAAGGTGCCTGCAGGCTCTTCCATGACTTGGGGAGCATCGGGACGCTGCTGAATTGCGGCAAAGGCGAGGATGAACAATGCAAATTGGTAAGGGTGGTCCTTCTCCAATGTCTCGATAGGCAAGCGATCAAATACGCCTCCAGTGCCCTTGCGACCAATCACGGGATAGTGGTATTCGACAGAGTTCATTATTGAAGTAGGTCAGAGAGCAGCAAGATATTAGAATTGACCTGGCGTTCCATCATCTCGTAGTAAGAGTCATATTTAAATGCCCACTACAGGCACATAAATAGAGCCCACTTACGTGGAGCGGTCAGTCAGATACTGCGGTTATGACTGGAGATGTCTACTTGCGGGAATTGTTAAGGCATGGTTGATTGAGAGCTGGCTGGATCGGGTAGAGGTTTGTAATTTCCTGACGCCTTATCCTTGAACGTTCAGGACCCGTACTCTCATGAACAACGCACCCGACTACTGGAGCGTCAGAATCGAGTACTATAGGCACCATCGATGTGTTAGAGGGGATTTATATATGATTCATGGGCGAACTAAAGGACATTCTCAGTAACTTCAGTAGAAAGACAGCTCAAGTACTTTTGAAGACAATTAGCCAAGACGTAAGAAGCAGGTAAAATGGCTAAGAAGCCTACCGCGGAAAGACATCTATCTCTCTCGTTGGCCAGTCACGGTATATCATCGAACATTTCCAGGATCACTTTTGGCGTGAGTCGATGAGATTTTGCCTTCAACTTTCGCAAACTCCTAGCAAAATTTGGAAAATGGTGTAAGATTTTCCCCCAGGTCCCTCATCCACCGCTAGTACTGTGGAGGTAGGGAGAAAAGGGGAGTTGGGATGATCGTCGATGTTTCAGATTAGGCAGAATCCTTGGCCACAGCGAAATGTGAATATTTGAACCACGATTGAGTGGAAACGTGCCCAATGCCCATGCAACTGGTACTCTTCTCTAGGTTCGCATGTCAGATATTTTCATGCTTGCTCTTGGAGTGCTATGCTGTGTAAGTGTGGGCACCAATGTAAGGCGGACAGTAGTAAGTACTCCGAAGAAATCAACAAATTTCTACCTGGTCATGCTAATCACTGCAAGTTTCAACAATTTGCACCGGCTGCTGTTGTACGGCTGGCCCCCGCCCACAACCAAGTGCAAGGTGCTTGCACCTGCACCTTATATGATGTTCTCAACTCGAGTCCATGTCCATATGGCTGTCACTTGCATAGACCAACATTACATACCTCTCCAGTGATGGGAAGTCGGAGCCTGAGGCAACAACACTCAAACACAATCAAACAGTTTTCACTTCCGCGACTCTCCGTCAAATTGGAAAGAAATTCATATCAGACTCCGGGTTGGATTCGGACGATTGAGTCGGATTGACACAGTCACTCAGTACTCGGAGCAGATCGTCGTCCTTGAGGGTCACTAGCACTAGCACTGGTCAACGCCATCATGATCAAGTCAAGTGACACGCCTCGGCAGCTCGAGCAAACTATAACGGCTACGGTCAAAACGCGTGACCTCGCATTGCAAGTGGTTTGTCTCTGCACCACGGTTGTCACATTCTGGTTTCCTCGACTCTGCGACCAATTAACAACTCCCCGATGCAAGTTGCATCTCTACAAAGTGGGCGAAACGTCGAACCCGAAGATGATGTGCTATGTGCTAGTCAGCAACGAACTTGGGGCTATCTACGGACAGTAACCTGTATACAATATTTTATAGCAAGCAACAAATGTCATCGCACTTTATATATCTGAACGACAGTCTCTCCAACTTCCGTCGTCTCAGAATTCTGTCTCACAGAATAATGGATTTCCACATCAAGTTCGCGAGAGTTGGTAGCGCTTTTCTTGCAGTAGAACGACCCCGTCACAATGGTGCCTGCATTCGTTGAGCTTAAGCCATCTAGATTCAGAGTGGAGATGTGCAACATACCGTCTTCTGCATGGATCGGATCTCTTAATAGGAAGATTGTTTGCTTCCAGTGCGTCGGCTGGCTACGAGGCCCCGTGCTGAAGCTCGTCACTCTCTTATCCTCCTTTTGCTTGAGACCGGGACCCGTGCTTGCACGGCGTTGCGGGGGTGCTTTCCCACCCACAGGCCATACCTCAGCGAGTGCCACATCACCCTCCTTCGTTATCCTGACGGGCACTTCGGGAGCGACAGGCTCGCCCGTCGTCGTGAAGAACGTGTCAAAGTACAATACAAACGCGTGGATTTTGGTGCGTTTCGGGGTAGTTGAGACGAGGGTGAATTGGGAAGTGAAGTCGAGTTGGCGGGTTGTGACGTCTTTTATGTGGAGGTCCTTGAGGAGGTAAGGTTCGCTCGCTATTGCTTCGGGCCCGACGACGTCGACGATGGCTTCTTCATAAACATCGTTTGCCATGACCGACAAATCGAAGCCTGCGACGTATTTTGAGAATCATACAATACCGACGAAATAGAACAATACACACCGTAAACATCACTCCAGAATCCTATGCGTTCCTTCAAGATTTCGCTACCTTCACAGAGCCCGAACATGATCCGGCACTGGCTCGGGGCCATCACGCCTCCCTCTGGTTTCAAGAATCTGTCGCGTGCTTGAAGCACAGAGTCGAGCATGGATTCGTAGAGCAATGCGTAGCCCATCCATTCGGAGACGATAATATCGACGTGCTCGACATCATCCGGGAGGGAGATCTCTTCAACTTTTCCACGAATGACGCTGCGCGTGCGTGATCAGTCATGCAGAGCAGACAGGGAGAATAAATGCTCTTACGTGATGACATCTTCTAGCCCGTTTGCTTTAACGATCCGTTCAGCCTTCTCGGCGATGTCGCTTGCATCGACTGCGTAAACGTGCTTCGCCCCTGACTTGGCGGCGAGGAGGGAGAGTATTCCGGTGCCGCATCCAACATCGAGTACGACAGCATCGCGGAATAGGATGGGGTTGGTGAGGATGAACGACGCGTAGGTGGAAGTGCGGACTTTGTCCTGGATCATAACAGCGTGGATGTCTTTTCACAGCACATGAGATCTTGAAACATTCTTAACCCCTGGAAAATCACGCACCATTTTCGCAGTAACTGGAGAAATAATGGGTGTCGTCATCTCGCGGCAACGGTCCTGATGAAGGACCCGGTTCGTTGATAATCTCTGCGAAACGCTCCGCGTCAAACTGTTGACCGACGAGTGAGCGGTATTCTGCCATGTCCCGATGAGCCTGTGCGAGCTTCCTTTCAAGGAGCTGCATCTGCCGAAGCGCGCTTGGTAGATCAGCGGGTGGTGCCGGGCGTTGGTCAGTGCTGGAGAGGTCTTCATCATCTGACCAGTCATCCATTTCTAGCTCTTTGGATGATTGAGTACCATATGGAGGACGGGAGAGACGTAATGATACGCACGAAGTAGCGGATCATCTTCAATTTGTGGGATCAGGTACTCATCTGAAGAGAAGAAAGTCTCCGCCCCTGTTAGGTTCCCGATGTCCTCTGGTATAGGCGCCTGAAGCTGTGTGTCAGTCGACGACACGTGAGAGATCGAATAGAATCGTACATGTTTTCTGATGAAATTGATTAATCGTATGCGCTGATGAAGGTCCAATTCTAGGCTTGATCGTCACTGATTGAAAATTCACGACAATTTGAACACCAACCCAGTTTCGCGCTTATGGTGCGCAAATCAAAGTTATGGACATCCTTATCGTGTGCACGAGCAGCAGCAGCTGAAGGAAAGGCCTTGTCCTCGAAGAGTGACCGGCAAGACTGATTCTGCGCTTGATCTGATACCCAATCTTCGAAGTTGTTGTCTTCCTCGGCGTAATCTGAGTCTGATTCAGATGACACTGATTGATCGTCTACATCCTCCCCTGTTGTATGGATTGTGGCTGCGGCAAAACGTATGGTCATAGTTTTTTTTGGTGGAGTCTAGGCAGGTGCCAGAAGGAAACGAGGACCCAAACTATCCGATTACCGATATCACAGGAGGCAATTTGCCTAATATATACAAGGGAAGAACTTGGCATAAGTATATTCGTTTGAACCTATACTATGAAGTACTGGGGATATTAATCGAGGTACGCAGGCTTATATATATGAGATACTTGCATTTATCTTGGAGCCAGGCACGTTCGTTTGTGTAAGTTGTACATTGGTGAAACATGACGAACTATTTAGCACTTTCTCTATACATGATCTAGAGAACTGGCGGTGCTTGTCACGGTGTGAATCTTCCGCGGTGGGATATCATTCAAAGATAGTCTGTTGCATTATGAACTGCACAATTGTGTCAACATGACTTGAGGAAGACCGGACGAATCTGAACGAGCAGTCTTATAAAGCTCTGGTGCAAGCACTCTCTCCTCTACCCTAGGACGTCTGGTTTGGGGATTAGCTTGTTTGCATACGAGACAATATGATACGATTGATGCGATGCAAAATTCTAGGGATGCTGTTCATGTGGACTAGGTGTTGTCAAGGTATAAAATGAAAATGACCCGTTCTTCGCAGCTACAATATCTCCAGCGTCCTGACGTCCATCATGTCACCAACATAAGTCATGTCTCTGGCTTGCGCGATGATATTATTATCCGAAGCAATTCTCTTATACTCCCCTCCACGCTGTTGCGCTAGTAAAAATGCGCCAAAAGGACGAGTAAGGCGAACGAGCAACCTCAACCCTCTGGTGACCAGTTCGTCATCTCCAGGCTCGTCAGTCCAATCGTCTACGCTCTGTGACTCGTCTGTAAAGTCGTCCACGCTCTGCGGCTCGTTTGTAAAGTCGTCCAACTCGAGATCATACTGATTGCACGGACGGATAAGCAGGAATGTCTGTCGAATACGCCTTTTAGGTGAGAATTGAACAAGCTTGTCTTCCGTTGTGACCAGCAGGTCTTGTAGCCCGTCTGCCTTGACGTCATAAGTGCAATATCTGGCCCCGTCTTGACCAGGCCTCCGCCTGACTTCTGTCAGAGGAAATACAATACAAGGCAATTGCAGTCTGTTGTCTGCAAAACGAGGAATGCTGAGAGTTTCAAGAAGGGTATACAATTTGGGAGCCGACTTCACAGCCACAATATTGTTTCGCAGCGTGGAGACCGATATCTCCACGTCATGTTCAGATAGAGATGGTTGCGTGCATGACGGAGCATTATATGAGGAAATCTCGGCTGGGAGACAACTGTTGAAATTGGACGATTGTCCCACCCAATCAAGGGCTGCGATGTCGCCCGAACGGGATATGATGTACTGCAAGAGTCGTCCAAGCGCGTTCTCTCTCTTTTCTCCGTAGATTACAGGAAGGTGGACGCCGAAGATGCCGAAGAGCGAATACGCGATGTCTTCCTCCCTCGTGGTGTCACGGTTTGACGCCCATTGAAGTTTCTCTCGGGCATCTCTTGTCCCCGGACAGAAGTCAATGAGCGCCCGCGCATTTATGCCAGTTGAACGCTCCAACTCCCTCATGATACTGTAAGACTGCTTGTGGTTGCGTGAGCGGTCGTCGAGATATAGGGTCCAATCTGCTTGGTAGAAGAGAATGATCTTAGGAGCGAGGAACTCCTGAACGGTCCATCCTCGAGTGTTCCAAATGCTTTTTGCGAGCGCGCCAGACTTTGATGAAGGAGGAACGTCCGATAGGTAGACGATAGTGAGCGCTGAGCAGCGATACCAGATGAACATGGAATTTACTGATTCTCCGAGCTCAACATTGTTGTTCTGGTCGATGCAGCATGTGTCGCTCCACGCCCAACGATGTCCCGCATCGCGAGCGACTTTGCAGAACTCCTGCAACTTCACAACGGTTCCGACCGGATCCAAGTCGTATATGGCCCTGTCCTGAATGTCGTACAGTAGCGGCTCCTTGGTTCCCCACCTATGGGACAACATGACCCAACCGAAGTACTTCACGACTGCTTCTTCGATGGGCTCTGTTTGAATTTGGAAGGGCGCATGCATGTCGGGTGAATGCAAAAGCTCTTTGTATTCGGTACTCTCCATGAATGCGTTGATCTGCTCAACTCGATTGCACAAACATCCAGTAGAGGTGTTGATTAGACGAAGTGGGGCATTTTTCAGTTGGGCGCCAATGGCTCGTCGAATAGCATCATCTACTTCGGATGTCGGACCGACGTACTGCTGGCGTAGTTCTGCAGAAAAGATAAATTATCTTCAAGTCGGCGCTTGAATTGTTTGGGACTTACGTCGTATCTGCGGGTCTGGTGTATCATCCAACTTGGAGAGCATGATTGTGAAGGCCTCGAATGCATCATCATAGCACTGTGCTCCACGAAGCACTGTATACTTCAATTCGTACCCGAGATAAGACGAAGGGTTGAGCTTAATGACCTGCGAATATCATTACATTTGTCAAATCAATGATGGACATTGTCTGCACCTTTTCCGCGTCCGAAAGGGCCTCCGCGTACAGTTTTTGGCCCAACTTCACCTTACTGCGGTGCGCAAAGTATGAGGAATTTATCTCGAATGCTGCAGAAAATGTGTCCTCGATAGACCAGAGCTGAAGATTTCCATCATAGTCTCCACTCGCGAGCAGTTCTCCACTGAGAGAAATTGCGACGCATGAAAACCACGTGGTGTGTTTGAGTGGCTGTCCTATCCGCTTGTGTAACTTTGTGTTCCACAGTTGCACAGTACGGTCATCCGAGGCGGTTGCAAAGAAGGAGCCATCAGAAGAAATGGCAAGTGAGTTGATATAGTCGGTGTGACCGGTGCAAGATCGACCGAGGTGGGTCCCATTCGACGAGTCCCAAAACTTGATTGTTTTGTCATGTGATACAGAGACAAGTTGCTGGCCGTCGGGCAACCACACAACGCTTGGAACCATGCTTGGAAGCCTATCGTGATGAGCATCAATGTCGAACAGAAACTCGGCATTATTGCCATTGGTGCTCCAAACTCGAACGTTACCGCGTGATCCGCCGGATGCTAATTTTAGCCCATCTGGACTGAAGGCGACACACAACACCGCACTCTTACCCCGGAGTGTTGATAGGACGGCGCCAGTCTCAGCATCCCATATAATAACTCCCCTATCATATGACCCGCTTGCGAGTCTTTTTCCATCGGGGGAGAAACACACAGACCGAACGCGGCCTGTATGCCCTACCAGCAGACCGAGTATCACTTTTTGCTTGTTATCGACGTCCCAGACGATGATGATTTTATCTCCTCCACCACTCGCAATTCGCCTATCGTCTGGCGATACAGCGACTGAATGCACATAGTCACTGTGTCCCTCGAATGGCCCTCCCACCAATACTCTTTTCTCCACGTCCCAGATTCGCAGGGTTTTATCCTTGGAAGCAGTGACGATACGTCGACCGTCTTTGAAGAACGCGACTGCTAATACTGCACCCTTGTGCACTCGCATCGTTTTCGTTGGCGTCGGCTGGATTGTCTGCGCTGGCGTCGCGCCCCGTCCTACAGTAAGATATGCTTTTTTTGCTACATCGAGCAATCCTGACATGTCTCTAGACAGGAAGATGGACGGTCAGTAGCGTTTGAGGTTGACGAGGAGCGTACTCTGTGGTTACGTCCTCGATATTATGCGTCGTAAGTAGAGCTGGATTTCTACCCATAACCTAATTCATGTAGGCTCTTTATATACTATACTTACACATCGGAGGTGTGGACATTTTACCTCTTTCAATCAAAAGCACATCTAGACCTAGCCTGGAACGCTCTGGAGCGCTCTAGATTGCATTTCGAATGTGATTTCACTACTGGCAAAATGTGGCAAATGTCGAAACCCCCGCTGTGTTATCGTTTGCTCCACACCACGTTGCTACAGCGTGGATCTCATTTCGCTGCTTCCATCAGTGCCTGTCCATAAATGCCTGTCATAATCAAGTCCTTCATTTTGTTCACAGCACTGATATCGATAGATATTCCCTGAAGAATTGATTATACCCCGAAATTTTAGTTCCTATCAAGTGATATCAATTCATCCCTCAAGTAGAGTCGGAGTAGACTACTCCTGCCACCGGGGGTAATCAATATCATGAGTTCATTCCAAGCACATCTCACGATGGACATCCGGAACTACACAGGCAGTCGAAAATGCTGTGGACGAGAACGGTGCGTCAGACTATCATTCTTCGAGCATCGCAACCTCTCAAAAGTATCTTCATAGACACAATCGCATAATTTTTCAGCACTGCTGCGAAAAACTCGCCTACAATGATCGCTCTTTCACTGGTTCCGGCGCCGCAGCGCTAAAAATTGGGTATGAGCTTTTTGTAATAGCCGCGATCTGAATGCTAAAGCTGTCCGTGGGCATGCCTCTGATATGATCCGTCTGACCTGGAGGTCAGGGCTGCTGACTGTCAAAGTCTTATCTATCAGTTCTGGATTAGATTTGCAAGAGACGGAAGTGTGATCCTTGTCGCGCTTCTGTGACGTGTATGATTTAATGCTACAGTCATTCTAATACATGGCCACCAGAACATTTCGTCGTTGAGCTTTGCACGCTCTGGAGTAACAAGGCAGCGCAAGACCATTAATTTAGATTCCCATTCACGAAAATACCATCACTCACACAACTGCCACTGGTCTACAATGGGTTTGCGATTGACACATCTCTTGGACCTTTGCCACAACTTCCGGAACACCAGTATTCCGTATATATAAAAAACGCAAATGACCATGAATGAGAACACAAAACCGAGAATCACGACCTATCTCACCTTGGTAATCTCATCACTAATCTCCTTCTCATTAATCGACCCGGGTTTGGTCAGTACGAGGACTTCCTTTCGGTCGACTGCGAGAAAGAAAAAAGTCAACGGGAGGAGACAAAGAAACTCTTGTCGCATGACATCGACCCTACACAGAGGGATGCAGAACAGGACAGACCAATAGCAAAAACGCGCATGACGTGGTGAACGCCATATCCACCGAGCCGGCGGTCATTCGTGCTTTAAGGGTATACGAACGGACGCGAGACCAAACATCGAGCACAATATCATTTGAGTTAGATTTACACGATCACATGAAGTCCTCTTCGATAGCTTTTCCGGTAAGCTTCGGTGCATCAGGATCCTCCTCGACTTCGAATAATAAATCATACGACCGGGCAGCCTTCTCCGCTTCTCTAGCCTTGGCCAACTCTGCTTCAGCTTTTTTCTGTATTCTTAGATTAGTGTTTGATTTAAAAGGGAGATAATGTGAAGCGAACATTTTGAGCAGCTGTAGTTCTTTTCTCTGCGTTCTCTTTCTTGATCCGGTCTACGCGCTCTTGCTCGTGATCCACATCCCTCTCGACTTTTGTCTTGTTGAGACGGTTTACGATTAGATTTTCTCGCTTTGGGATGTGAACTGAGGGAGTATTGAGCAATAAAAACAATTGACTGGGGAACTTGAGAACCTCTTTTGACCTGCAAATCAACAACATTCAGCCGACGGCGACGATCGAGAGATAAAGGCGCACGCACTTGTTTGTCACTATGAAATGACACCTGACCGACGGCCATATCTCCGGATTTCTAGTATGAACATCTTCAGGTGGGCGCCCAGTGCGAGCATTGTGGTAGGCCCACCTTGAGGTTACTCCCCGGAGTATAAATAATGGCGAGGTTGTCTTTCTTATTTCCTACGTATCCAAAATCAATATTCAGGGGATAGATGACCTGAATATGCTCACGAACCTTCGATCGAGTTAGCTTTCACTAGCTGCGCACAATCGGTCAAAAGCGCCTGGGGAATGCTGTCCCAGGTCATGGTCGTTGGCATGCGAAGATAGACGTGCGCTGAGGACAGCTTGTCGACGTGAAACCACACATCTTGAGGCCATGCATATTTGATCAAATCTTCGTCTGATCTGGGATGGTGAATTTCAGTGTGTTATGTGATGGGTGTTGCTGGGCTCACTCTCGACTTTATCCTTGCCCATGTAAACCATTGCTGGCGGATCAACCACTATACCGGAAATCGGTATTACAGCAACTTGAACTGACAGAAGGGCTCACCAGTGGAAGTGAAGAAGAGGACCATTACGCTTGTGACTTGAGGGAGGACGATGTAGTTTTAGAAAACTAATAAGAAAGAGCGTGGGAAACATCGGCTGCTGCCCTTGCACGCGAACCACAACGAGCGCTTACTTACCGGTGACATCCACTAGCTACAAACTTGCTTCGAGCTCCGCTTTGCTTTACTGTTCTGACTGTTTATACAAACGCTTACAGTATCTCATTTGTGCGTCTTGATTCTATTTTTTGATGGAGTCTTACTGATTCCTCCAAAGAATCGATTGCCAAATTTCTGTTACTTCAAGATACATTCTCAATCAAAATGCAACCCATTCCAAATCGGTTAGGACTTGGTCTGCGTCCACCTTTGCCATCATACGGCCAGGGGCCCTCAATGTCGGCTCTCGCACAGCAGCAACAAATGCTTCACCAGGGCTTCGTCCCTCCTCAAGCACAGAAACTGACGTCTCTGTTTGTCGGCTCAATATCTGGTGGTGTCACCGATAGCTTTCTGAACAGACTTCTTGTGGTAAGGATCAGTTGTCCAAATCCTCATGTTAATCGCTTACAGCGGCTTCCAAGGCGTGTGGCCCCGTCAAGTCCTTCAAACGCCTTATCACCCCAGCGAACAAGCCGCAGGGTTTTGGATTTGCTGAGTTCGAAGATCCTGACTCTGCATTACGATGTCTTGCTCTTTTGCAGGGTGTTGAGTTACCGGCACTCGAGGATGGGTGCGCGAACAAGAAATTGCTGGTGCGTCGTGCTTTATATCTATTTCTCCCTTCAAGCCTACGTCGAATATCCAGATCAAAGCCGATGAAAAGACGAAACTTTTTCTCGATGCCTACTCTGCACAAAAAATGAAAACCGATGTAATTATTCCCCACTCTCTTTATCTGACCGTCAATGGGCTGACGAGCGATACGCTTAGGCTGATGAGACAATGTTGCAACACGCAAAAATGAAGGTCGATGAATTAGTCGCCGAGATCAATCAGCAATCACAAGAAGCAGCCAACAGCGGTCTTCTCGATAAAGAAAAATATGTCATCCCACCACATCTACACGATCTTCAAGAAGCCGATCTTCCTGAGACGCAGCGTGGTCTTGTCATATCCGAAATCGCCCAATTTCGTGAACGAGCTGCAAAGCGGGAGCGGGAGAAGTTGCGCGACGTTCGTGACGCCATGCCTCAGCTTACACCTACCCCAAGCGGGCCGAAAGTCCGCGAGTGGGGAAAGCCACAAACCCCACAGTCACCACAGGCTGCTCCAGGTAAATCTGCTCCTCGCGGAAAGGATGCGCAGGGATACAACAAACCTGTGGGGTTTGTGAAAGCCGAAGATGGCGCCGCTGCAATGGGGTCTGATGATCGGAGTATGCCAGGCAAGAGTGGAAAGACAGACGAGGAACTCGAAAAGGACCGCAAGGAAGCCAGACGGCGAGATGAGGAGGTTTCCTTCCGGGACGTAAGTTGCAGTGACTATTTCGTCAGATACAGAATCATCATGCTAACCTTCACGATCTAGCGTGAACGTCGCTACGAGCCCCGAGAGCGTACCCGTATAGCAGCTCTGGAGCGTTCGATAGCCCGTCAGACCGCAATTAAAGAGGCAGAAGAGCGAGATCGTGTTGAGATGCAAGCTCGTCTGGACGTTTGGGATGATGATGAAAGTGATGAAATGTTTTACGTCGACAGGTGCGTTTACAAGTTTGTGTTGCGTGATTTCGCTCATAGTCTATGTCAGAACACGGTGGAGACAGACTCGTTCCCGTAGACTTACCGCAGAGGAGGCAACGGATGCCGAGTCCCGCATCTATGAAGAACGTGAGACAGAGAATCTTCGTGTCGAGTCTGAGAAATTCCTCGCACGCCAGATGGAGGACATGCAAGCTCTCGCCGAAGAGCAGCGGAAAGCAGGCATGCTTCTTGATGACGGTGCGCCAGTCAAGCTTAGCGTGTCACTGAACCCCCCGCCTGTCAAGGCAGAACCTATTCCAAAGGACACGAAATCGACTGTGTTCGGGCAGGAAGAGGAGGAGGAAGAGGGCATCAAGAAGCGGAAGGTACCGCTCGTTAAGCTTGACTTCAGCGCCACCGAGGGCGAGAAGGCCAAAGAACGCCTCCAGATGATCAAGGAATCTGTACCCCACAATAGGGAGGCACTATTCAAGGCGAAAGTCAGATGGGATGGTGTTTCAGATGTAAGGATTGGGTTTTGCGTGTACAAGCTGCCTGCTAATAATGTGCCATAGCCCATGATTGACCGCAAGCTGGAGCCATTGATACGACGCCAAATGGTAAACTATCTCGGTGAACTAGAGGATGACGACCTCGTCATGTTTGTCGTAGAGCACCTCAAGGATCACAAGGGACCTCAGAAGCTTATCGAAGGGCTGGAGCCGGTGCGCCTTGCATATAATTGGTGTACTTGGCATTTACTAAACATCTATGGACAGGTTTTGGAAGAAGAGGCACAAGAATTCACCATCAGCATCTGGAGACAAATAATCTTCGAGAGCATGGCATACGGCGAAGGCCTGCACACGGAAAAGCTGATGGTCGATTGAACAGAGGGTGGGCTTTTGCACGCTGGGGTTGCTCTGCTCAGGAGGGCAGGTGCGTTGTAGCATTAATATCATGACTGCTGAGGTGTATGAGCTTCGAGAAGCAACTACACTACGCCAGATGAGGATTTAGGATGCTTGATAGGTTGCGGAAGGGCTAAAAGGGTGCATCCGTAAGTACGTCATTGACCTATTCCCGTGACGAATGATACTTCTTTCTGAGCGTACCTGTATCAATCGAACGGTGAAGACCTTTGGGATGTTTCAACAAAGCGCACGTTGCACATGGCACCTTGCTGTTGAGTTCTCAAGATCTGCTTACCAGTGTGGAGTTATTAATTGATGAGGGAATAAGTAATGAGATATGCGCTTAGACCTGACTATTTCCGCTGTCGCCGCATCAAGGTACAATTGTTGAACAAGCCCTCCTGTTGAAGCACCCTTCGACTCGTTGAGTTTTGCCTTTTCTTTGATAGTTGTTGGTCTCGTTGACCCGATCTAAGCCGCTTGCCTCGGACTACAGCAAAATGTTATTCGACCGTGGCTGCCAAGATTTTCTTCGACCATATTTTTCTGTAGCTTTACCGGTGAACGTGACATCCGTTCTGACGTTCGACTTGACCTCGTTGCTGTCGCTACCGATTTGACGATGAGGGATTTTCAGGTACGTCCACATGCTTACTTATGACATGGGCGGGTTTAGCTAGTGAAGCGCTATTTCGTGAGCGCCCGGGGTCTGCTGGCTAGTTGGTATATTGGCATGTGCTGCACTGTGGGGAATTTGCTGGACGAATGCTAGTGTGCCATGGCCAATGATCATGCACATGAGTGATTTTAAATAAAGGCGTGAGTTGATTACGAAACCTTATGTATTGCGGCGTTATGTAGCTCCGAGCCACAAGGTCAAGCTCCCACTGCATGAATTCAGCTTTCATCACTCGGGAAGTGCCCCTACCGATTGGCCACTCGAATGAGTTATCTTGTTCCATTCTGATTTCCATATTTTATGGCAGTTTCAAACGCTTGACGGTTACTAGCTCATCGGAACGTGCGTTGAAACGTTATTTATTATGTCAGTGGGAGATCTGGGTAATATAGCAGTGCATTTGCAACCAGTCAGCAGACCCTTGGTCAAGGCAACTGCTGATCCATCCATCTGATTCCGTCAACAATTACCAGGATTTGTCAATGTTTTGTAGCCAGGGTAGCGTTATGCACGGAGCGCCTATAAAAAGTCCCATGAGCTGGCGATTATTAGCCTGCGTCGTGGCAGGCTTCACGAGCTCCTTGTATATATACGATATCTGGTGCTACTCGAGTCGCTGGTGACTAGGACATACATATCCCGCGCTCATGATGGTGTCGAGCTTGAACTTGAAGGCTGCGGTCATCGCCGGCCTTGTTCCTACCATATTGGCGGCTGCCACCAATACTAGTACCACCACCACTGCGCCTGGCACCGCAGTGCCAACGTTGACCATTTCGACAGCGGTGGCTAGCCCTAGTGCACCACTAGGCGCCACTCTACCTTCGCAGGCACCACTACCCCCAACCCAAGGATGGTGCATTGGTCAAATATTTTGCGCTGGTTCAGTACGTTCTAGTTTACATCAACTTTATGGGTCCCAGTACTAACATCTACCCAGTTGCTACAGACAGTCAATATTGCTCAGGTGTACACTGATCCGAAGACGTTCGTAGACAAGCCAACCAGCAAGACTTCTCAGCAAGTTCTTGCAGACTTCAGCAATTTCAACTTGTCGACGGTTACCGAAGGGCAGATCGTGAATTTCGTTGATAACGATTTCCTTGGAGAAGGGCTTGAACTGGAAGCTGCTACTCTCACGAACTTCAATCCTACTCCAGCGTTCCTCAACAACGTGACGGACCCTTTGTTGAATGCGTTTGCGCAAACTGTTAACGATTACTGGACTCAACTTGCCCGTAACACCAATCAGTCTGCTCTTTGTAACGAATATCCCGGCGGCTCGTGCGAAAGCTCGCTCATTCCCCTGAACCATACATTCGTTATTCCCGGTGGTCGCTTTAGAGAACAATGTTCGTGTTTCTCTATGTCTCTGCTCAGGTGGATATCGATGATATCTGGTGGCTTTCAACAGATTATTGGGACAGCTATTGGATCATTCAGGGTCTAATTCAGTCGGAATTATATGACACTGTCAACGCGACTTTGCAAAATTTCATGGATGAGATCGAGGGCTTCGGTTTCATTCCGAATGGTGGTCGTATCTATTGTGAGTAGACTGTTTTGAATGAGTCGGTGCATCTCATTGTCGGTGGTACAGACTTGAACCGCTCACAACCACCTCTCTTTATTCATGTGAGTTCTGATTAGCATTCTTCGATGTGATCGGCATCAAAACGTGACACAGATGGTATATGACTATGTTAATGTGACTGGAGATACCTCGATTCTACAACGTGCTCTTCCTTTGGCTGAGGTCAGTAGCTTATTGTGTCTGTGGAGTACGGATTCTGAATATCTGTCCAGGTTGAGCTTGCCTGGTGGGCAAATAATCGTACAATTGAAGTTACGAGCCCGTACACCAACCAGACCTACATGATGGCACACTATGCAGTCAACAACACCGCTCCTCGACCCGAATCATATCTCACTGGTGGGTTGTCGTACTGAATCTGATCCCCCCACTTATCTCTCAACTTAGATTATCTGACCGTTTATGACCCAACGCTTTCTACACCTCTTACGGATAATCAGGCTGCCGAGCTTTACAGCGAGCTTGCGTCTGGCGCTGAGACCGGATGGGATTATAGTTCACGCTTCGAGGCTATCCCTCAGCTTGGCAACCCTGGCCTGCGCTCGCTCAATGTGAAGAACCACATCCCAACCTGTCTTAACAGTATTCTGTGTATGTTGATTTGTTTTGCTGTGCGTTTTTGTTGATGGGAACTTCGGGATGTCAGACAAGGCCAATATACTTCTTGCTGAGCTTTATGGCACGTCCAATGCGACCGCATCCAGCACCCACCTCCAGGTCGCTGCCGGCATTCGTGCGGGTATCCTCGACCTCCTCTGGGACCCAGCCAAGCTGGCTTTTTACGACTTTAACCTGACTTCGAATGCACGCAATGATATATTTACGGCCGCGACTTTCTATCCTGTTTGGAACGGTATCATCCCCGACGAAGTCCTCGCTTCTCAATCCAACGCGTTTGGTTACTTCGCAGCGGTCAATTTGGTGATGAACAAGTACAATGGTTCAGTTCCGGTTACTTTTGTCGATTGGACGGGCTTGCAATGGTAATTCTCTACGCCTTTTCCATGTAGACCTTATGGCACGTGTATTACAGGGACGCCCCGAACTCTTGGCCTCCACATCAGTACATCATCATGCAGGCACTCCGGGCTATTCCGTCTAATCTTACCACCAACGGGCTGCCTACACCCAGTTCAGATCAATCTACATATGATCTTGTTCCGGCAGGCCAACTTGACTTTACGGAAGCTCAGCTTCCTGGTCAACCTTTCCTCGTAGCAGAAGCTAATGCGAACGCGACTGCAACTGGTCCAGCAGCGGACATCAACAAGTTAAACGGTACTGTTGTTAATGGCGGAAATGCCACTGCGGGCGAAGGGTGGAGGGACACGCTTCAACGCGAGATGGCTAACAGATATTACACTAGTGTGCTCTGCAGTTGGTAAGTGGGATACACTTGTTCTCCAATAAAGCAATGCTGAGACTTCATCAGGCATGCCACTGGTGGTTCGATCCCAGGACTGCTGCCCCAGCTCCCAGCTAATGAATTAAATGTAACTGGTAGCATTGGTAACACCGGTAACGTCCGTAATGCTCGATCTGATTCTCCAGGCCACATACTCACGTGCAATGCAGATGTACGAGAAGTTCTCCAACCTCAATGTCGACTCTTCTGGTTATGGCGGTGAATACACCGTTCAGGCTGGATTCGGATGGACGAACGGCGTGCTTCTTTGGGTTGCCTCGACATACGGCGAGCAGCTCGTTGCTCCGCAATGCCCACCAGTCATCGTTACTGCTACTAATAATACTAGCAGCACGAGCGCGGCTGTCGGTCTACAGGCATCGTCTGGGGCCGTTATCACTGCCGTGGTGACGGCTTTTATGGCATCTTGGATCTTCTTGTAGATGTTGTAGATGCCGATTGTTGGCTGAGGTCCAAAACCTCGCGTACACAGAGTATGTCGCAAATTTGTTACACCAGTACACTGTTATTGTTATTTTGCCCTTGTGGTGTGTAGAAATCCATCGTGACTCTTACTAGTCACTTTACAAATATACAACAGCAGCGAGCACGCCACTCCACCAAAGGCATTCTTGCCGTGGGTTCTTAGTATGCAGTCGTAGCAATCGAGACTTGCAGCGGACTTCGCATCAAGTCAATTGCATCATGGCGATTCGGGAACTGGGAGTGTGTCACATATAGTGGTTCTGATTGGGCGAAGTCAGTGTGCCGGAGTCCAAATGTTGAGAAAGTGCTGAGCGGGATGCTCGGACGGGACGACAAGAGTACGTGATGTCAAGACCGGCGAAACAGTCTTGGAAATCGAAACCGGGGACTACTAAGTGCATGCGGCGATCTACTCGCTAGACAACACAAAAATTGCGATGGGAGGAGGCAACATTGGGGTGGAAATCCGGGATGCCAAGACGTCAGGCGAGCTGCTATCCACACTCAAACACGATCTGGATGCTGATAACTAGGAAATGCAACACTTGGTCAACTGTTTGTCATAACCGACGATGTAGCGCCTAGAACAAAGCATCCAGGTGTGCGAAATGCGCATACCATTTTGCCCATCTGGATGCTTTGCCTACACAGCATGAGACGCACCTTAAAAAGACAAGTACAACGTCACGGCGTGGTGCTTCCCTGAAGTCAGCGACTCATCTTGATCATGGAAAGCACACAAGTCGTTATAGAATCTGAGTTTAAATCACTTGCGTGGAATACATAGAGATCATAACGGTTTAAGTTTGATTCCATCTGAACCTGACATCGTCATTTCGCAAATCCGTAACAAGTTCGTTTACGCCAAGTAACCTCTAACCTACTAGTACTTTGAGAGAAGGAATAAGGGCAATGTATTCCGCTCGCTGCTCATTTCTTATTGGTACTTGGAAGCCGAGAGTCAGGCTCTCCAGAGGACACTTTGACCGCGTCAAAAATGCCTTGAATTCCTTATGAGGCCATGGATATATATCGCGAGCTTCGAAAGCGCGCAAATTGGGGAGTGAGAGTAGTGCACCTCAGGCATTACTTCTCGGTGGTATTAAAGGTCATTTAGAGGGTATTATTATGTTAGATGAAACCCTATCTCGTAGACCTAGCCTCAGAGATGTTCTATTTTTAGTACCACCAAATATACCTTGCTTCCTCCTGCAGCGCCTCCTGGGATCCTCGACAAACCATCCTGGCCCTCCCAGGATACACGGCACTCCTCTGTGATGATCGCAAACATCGTCAATATGTCCTGTGATGATCACAAACCTCGTCGATATGTCCTTAAGGCTGCCATTCGTGCCTGACAGTACTCTGCTCACGCACTAAGTCCTTTTCAATTTTTCCTTTTCCTTGTCCTCCACTACTAGCCATGCCCCCCGCTCGCAATGCGCGTGGCACTCTGCCAACATCTTCAGGGCTTGGCCTTCATTTTATAAGCCCCAAGAAATCTCGAGACCTGAAGAAAACTCAGGCTTTGTTCACATTCCTGGCGTCGATGCCAAGCATAAGCGTCTCCTTGACCAAATGGCCACCCTGATGAATCCACCCCCAGTTCTGCATACCCAAAATCTTAGTTCTGTCTCCACCCCTCCTCAATCCGAAGCCGCGATGAGTATCGACGATTCTAATTACAACGACCTGACAGATTACATCTATGACGCTAACTCAGACGACTATGTAGTCATTGCAGACCAGCCTGACCCAGGCACTTCTGACCCTACAGATTTGGAGCATGAGAACCCTGGGCGTCGCATCCTGCCAAACAAGATGTCCAACAATCTCCATAGCGCTTGGAAGGCACTTGTACCTACCCTGGTAGAAGTGTTCTTGAAGTATTCAGCCAGAACACACGGGCATCCTCTTCCAGAAGCATGCCCGGTGATATCTGCCTGTGCAAAGCGTAGTTGCGCACCGCGACGAATTTCGATAATTTGCCTTTTATTTGATCGTGAGTTGTTCATTTGTTCAAGCAGCTCCAACTGACGATTGCAGGTTTCCTTCTTGTAGATGTATTAGTCTGTGCATGCTCAACACTCGCACAAGTTCTCATCCACCACGGCCTCTTTCCTACCGCGCCTTCTCAACCATGCATGGCCATTTCCATCGAACTACTTGCGTTTTATCGAGCCTTATTCGAGCGTTCCTGCGATGCCATTCATGCGCTTGCATCTGCTCTCAAGACTCACTATGCTCGCAGAGGGTTTCAAATGACACGTGGAGATGTAAGTCTTTTTTTTTCATCAGTCTCTCAGACGGTTGCTCATTACAAAGGGCCAAATCATCCAAGAACCTTTTCGACGTAGCCTTGGGCAAGCTGTTCAATGGTTTGACATCTTGCAGGTTGAAGTTGAGCGTCAAACTGAAGCAGCAGTACAAATTGCTCGAGAACGAGTGTACGAGGCTCGGAGACCTCAACTTCCAGACGACAGTGGTATATCCACGCCCACATCATCCAATACAACACTCGTCAAAGGCAGGTGCTCCTCCATTCTCATGCAGCGTTGTCCTGCATGCTTCGCAGGCGTGCTTTTGGAAGACCACTCAGCGAGGGCGGTGACATTCATATTGCGACGGACGGGAACTTTCATCATAGACACCGATGGTCTGCGGGGGACTGCCCACGCTTCTACGATCCTGCCTATTTCCTTCCCAAGGCTCAAGTGGATGAAGTCGGGCACCGCATACAATCACTCCGTAAACGTGCCCCAAAGAAGCACACTTCGGCAGTGCCAGATGAAGCGATAGATCAATGCGAACATTCATACGAAGCTGCGGATGGGAAGAAACAAAAGGCCGCGATGGATTCATTCGACGATACTGGAGTTATGGCGCTCATCTGCCGGCATGACATTCCGTTGTTCTTTGCCAATATTGACTCGCCTGGCGAGCAACAAAAATATGCTGTAGCGCTACTTGAGCATTTATTCTCCTTGGTCCCACAGGAAGCCAATGTCATTGCCCTCTATGATGTCGGTTGCGTGCTCTCACGGTCATTGTCACACGTAAGCTTCCTTAAGATACAACTTCTCCCGCTTATGTGATACTAGTATGATATCCTTCCTTCTTCAGTGACATCGCGTCTTCGATTTGCAACCACCGCTATGCACGCATACGGCCATGAGTGGGCCTGTCAGCTTGAGTACAACCCTCGGATGTGCATTGGGCTTGGCCTGTCAGACGGCGAGGGTACTGAGAGGTTATGGTCGAGATTTGTTAAGCTGATTGGAATACAACGTTCATCCTCAGTAAGTGCCTACTCCGCTTTGACGAAGATTCTTCAAACACACACACACACAGAGGCAAAGGCGCCTTTGGTTGATAGATAGGCAAGCGGCTGCCATTGGTAAGGAGATGCAAGTAGATCTCGGAGATTGGATCAAACGTCGACTCAAACGTGGAGTTAACAACCAAGGATCTGCAGCGAAGGAAGCTCTAAGGAAATGTGGGATCACCGCCGAGGATCTGCAGGCGCAGTGGGCGGATCAGAAGAAGTCCCAACTCTCCATTCGCGCCCGTACGTCAGTTTAGCTTTCCTTGTTCGAAGATGAAACTTACGTCACGCATTGTGAACTACAGATGCTCCTGCCCGGCTCAAAAAGGAACTCGACGTGGTGCTTGCTCTACAGGCAGATCTCGATGCTTCAGATAGGGCTTTGCAAGCCACACGTTCTGTGGTCGAAAAGGGCTCGGTCAGCGAAGAGACATTGGATGCTATAACAAGCCTTGAGCGCAGCCACGAACGTCTAATGACCAAGGTTGAAGTACTGTATTCGTCACTCAATGTTCATGACAGGTTTCCAGAGCTCCAAGATGTGGACTTAGATTTCGTTCGGACACTCCTGATGGCCCGCGACCTCAAAATCAATATTCGGAAGAGAGCTATAGGAAGCTTTTTTGAGTGGGACAAACTTGATCGCGCCGTCGGTGGTGCAAATCAGGCCCTCGGTGAAGCATTTTTTTCCAATTTCGGATCATCAAAACTGACTTGTTATCTCGCAAGGCACGAAGCTTCATCAACAAACTCGTAAGGCAATCGCAAAGCGCCAGCCAGCGTTAATGACTGCAATTCGCAAATTCAACTCATATTGTGAGCGTCTGGAGAGCCTCTACGATCCATCCTGGAGCATCCCACTTCCTACTCCTCTTCCTACCAAGCTTGCGGACCTTCGAAATGACCAAACATTGATGGAGGATGTTTGGATCACCCCGTCAGTAGGCGACGTTCCTCGTTGGATGGAAGATCCGGATGTCAGAGATGGGATACGAGCGTTGTTGAAATGGGAACGGTGTCAGGAAGAACAGCGCCGCCTTGGGCTCGAGGCTGACAATCTTTGCCGATGGTTTGGAGATGAACTTGCGGCTCTTGAGCTCGCTCTGCGCTTGCCTACAAGTAAGTCATTTCGCACGTCGATGATCAGTGCTAATTTAACAAGACCGAACATTCATGTTCACAATTCAGCAACGGCGCGATCATGTCCTTCTACTACAGACTAGATGGGTTACTCCATTGGTGTCTTCCACTCGTTTCAATGGCAGTGGCAACGCAGCACTTAAGCTCGCCACTTCTCTTGCTGGGAGCCACGGATCATCAACCACTGCTGCATACTCGCTCATACCGACCTCCCTCACACTTATAGATCCCTCCCCCGAAGAAGACATCGTCGAGGAATCTGTTCCACGCACATTTGAAGAAGGCCCTGAACAAGTGGCGCTCTCAGATGTTTTACAAGACGGTACCATTAGTGATGAGGACGACGAGGACGACGATGAAGATAAGTGCATGGGAGAACCTGAATATGTCATAACATGGCAACTCCCAGAGGTACGTTTCAATATCTCATATAGAGAGTCATACTTATCCTACCTCATAGAACCTTCAAAATATCACTTCAGAATTCCTAGCCCCGAGGAGATCCCATCAACGTATGAAGGACATCTCCCGAACCCGCGTGCGACCAGCGCAGACGGGCTTCCCTCATCAAGTATTTGAGTCTAGGGATGTCTCCATGCTCGCACAGCCTACAGCCCGACTCAATGACACATGTATCAATGGTGTCGCTGCATTGCTCTACTCCGAGATATCAACTACCTGTCATGTACGTCCTTGTGCCATTCTCTCCACGCACAATCTCCTCGGATTCGATATAACGCGTCCGATGATATA